TCATTAGGCAGATGTTAACACACCAATCTCACGCTTCCTCTCTCTCTCCCTCTGTCGTGAGTCTCATCCTGAAAGAATGATAAATTGGGAGGAAATTCTCTCTGGATTTCTGTGTTTAATTTACAACGAAGACATGTATATATAGGCTCTCACATGTTGAGAAACCTAATCACAAAAGGAAGCGAAATCAAACCTATACAAGGAAGCTACCAAAAATAATACTCCCTCCGTCCTATAATGATCTTCCCGGTTCGCAAAACGAAGAAAAATCCCAAGTTTTTTTAATCTATTTTATTTAAATATTGGTATAGAAATAAAAAATAAAACATACATATTTAAAAACTACACCAAAAGTTCAACAAAACAAGTGGTGACAAGAATATTTTATTTTATCATATAGGCCATGAAAAAACACAAATAAATATAAATTCCCGTGAAGTTGGAATAGTGCTCTGGGAAGATCATTATAGGACGGAGGGAGTATNCGTCCTATAATGATCTTCCCGGTTCGCAAAACGAAGAAAAATCCCAAGTTTTTTTAATCTATTTTATTTAAATATTGGTATAGAAATAAAAAATAAAACATACATATTTAAAAACTACACCAAAAGTTCAACAAAACAAGTGGTGACAAGAATATTTTATTTTATCATATAGGCCATGAAAAAACACAAATAAATATAAATTCCCGTGAAGTTGGAATAGTGCTCTGGGAAGATCATTATAGGACGGAGGGAGTATATACCAAAATATATACGAATATTCTCTTTCTTTTAACACATCCTCACCTTAGTCATTATAACAATACACCCTAAACGGAAACCTCGGTCTGCATCAGAATAATGGCCTCATCTCTAACTACGTTTACAGGATTATCAAGTACACATGATTGAATTCTTGATTTTTATTTTATGTTTAAGAATTGATCAATATGTGGTATCAGAGCATTATGTTGATTAATCAATTCTGTTTTGTTTCCCTAAACTGTAATTAAAATCGGAAATAAGCTTTAACTCTAATTTTTTAAAAAAAAATTGTTTTGCGAAACATGTTCTTTAGATTTATCATGTTTTCCCATCTCACAATAAACCGGTCTCAACTCTCATAAATTGGTTTTCATAAAACAAAAACCGAAACTTTGATCCACTAAACTTTTGATCACGATTGTTTTGAGGTTTTTTCAACGCTCCAAGTATATTAATTCTATAAATCATTACGAATTTAAGTATCAATATCACAACAACAACACTTTTGTTTCACCGAATTGAATGGTTTTTTGATCCCCTAATTTATTTATTTTATTCCTTTCGAAATGTAATACACAAAACTATTGTTTTATGCTTTTGAATATTAAATTTTGATAAATTATTCATGATTATTCATACTTATTTTGATGAAATCATCTTATTTTGATATTTGATTTCGAGTATAACTTTGTTTCTTTACTTGTATAGCATATCTCACTTTTGCACAAAATATTTTGTTTACTTATTTATTTATTTGTTTTGCCAAGAATAGCAAATTAAACTAAGTAAGGAATATATGGTAAAATACCATAAAATTTAAAATTTTACTTGTTCAAAAATCTATCTCCTGCCTTATATGCCTTATGAGCACATCATGATGATGAATGACATGGTCCGTAAGCAGTGGCTGAGCCAGGGAAGACTTCATGGGGGGGGGGCAAAAATTCATTTAATAAATAAACAAAATTCATAACAGTAACTACCATAATTGGCAAATTGCAAAACATACCTTCTATTTGTGCAAAGGAGTAAGAATTATTTGAGGCCGTAGAAATTTTTTTCGAGATGCTAACTTTTGAAAGCGCTGCATAATAACTTCATCATCAATGCTCCTAAAAGTTTCTTTCTCAAAGTAGCACAACAAACAATCTGATAAAAGCTCGTCCCCTAAACGGTTACGTAAATCAGTCTTGACAATATTCATCGCAGAAAAACTCTTTTCCACTGAAGCTGTTCCAACAGGTAATATCAATGCCAATTCTATGAGCCGATATACCAAAGGAAAATATGTGTGATCATTCATCTCCACCATCTTCTTTGCAAGACTTCCAAGATTGGGAATATTAGCAAAAACTTCATTTGATCTCATATCAGAAATGTAATTTTGAAGTTCATGAATAAGCTCAACTCGATCACTAGAACTAAAATCTCCTGAATATAATACAGCAAGTTCCAATAGCCGATCTTGATCAAAACTCGCAAAGCAATTAGAAGGATCAAGACACATTACACATCTTAGTAAATTTGTGTTTGTCTCTGTAAGGTGTCTATCCATTTCCACAATAAGAATATCAATGACCTAACATCAAATAAAGAATAATTATAATAATCATAATAACTTATTTAATATGTTATGATATTAAAATACTTCCAAAAAATGATATCAAAATTTAAAATTAATAAAAGTAGTATACCTTTGCAAAGATCTCTCCACGAAAATGCACATAATTTGTCATGGGTTCACCACCTTTCATTTTCTTTCTTGATCGCCCACGAAGATAATCTTCCATGTTAGGTATATCAATTGCATGTTCTTCACAAAATTTACTAACTTCCTTCAAAAAAGCATCCCAACCATGATCTCTAAAATCTTGTAAGTTCTTTTTTACTACACCAATGATATTCAAAGCACAACTAATATTTTGATCTCGTGCTTGTAATATCTTTGATAAGGTGTTAGTCATACCTAGAACTTTTAACATAAACTTTCCAATAAAAACGAACTCAAAAGAATCCATTTTATCAAGAATGTCACTAGCACTGTTTTTAATTTTGAGTGTTTCACCATGCTTGTGTAACGAATTTAGCACTGCACCAATAACATTCCACATGTCAAAGAGACGAACAAGAGTTTTGTAGTGAGAGCCCCAACGTGTATCACCTGGTCGAGCTAAAGATGTTGCTGGATTTTGCCCCCTACCAGTTGACAATTCACCTATTTCTATGCGATGCAAAGTTTTCTCCTCGTGTATTTGAAGGAGAAAATCCTTCCGTTTGCATGAGGATCCAACTGTATTAACAATCATCAATAGCATTTCAAAGAAATCAAATACGCTCTCCCTATCTTATGCAGCCGCAACAATAACTAACTGAAGTTGGTGGGCAAAACAATGAATGTAGTATGCATTCTTGTTTTCATTAAGAATAAGTGTTTTCAACCCATTAAATTGACCGTGCATATTTGAAGCTCCATCATAACCTTGACCTCTTAGTCTTGAAAGGGACAATCCATGTTTTGCAAAAAATTCATCAATTGATTTTTTAAGAAACTTTGCAGAAGTTTCCTCAACATGAATTAATCCAAGAAAACTTTCTATAATCTCCCCTTTATCATTCACAAATCTCAAAATCACTGACATTTGCTCTTTCACAGAGCAATCTCGAGCTTCATCAATCAAAAGAGAAAAATTCTTTTTTCCTATCTCATTCAATATGACATTTCTCGTTTCCATTGCACAACTTTCAATAATATCTCTCTGAATGGTAGGAGAAGTCATTTGATTATTTTTAAGAGCATTTGTTTGCATGACTTTTTCAGCAGCTACATTGGTCTTACAAAACCAAGATATGAGCTCAAGAAAATTACCTCGATGGATTGACTCGGGAGATTCATCATGTCCCCTGAAAGCTAAGCCCTCCCCCAAACGATATCGAGCCACTTTTACAACAGTTGCTAACCGAGTACGATAATCATCTTCAATGGCATCAGTGTTAGTCGATAAGACAAAATCTATGTTCTCTCTTTGATTAAGATATTGTTGAACTTGTTAGTTAGTATATAGTCTACGACGCACAAAGAGGGAGAGTCTCAAGTCTGGGTTTTTTGTTTATTGTTGGTTGGCCTTATCCTTATGACAAAAACAAATAGCAGGAATGAGGGTCGTGTAAGTTGTCTAGTTGGCTTGGGATTGTAGTGTCTTGCCATGTTATGGAGTCAAGAAAGATATGCACGTACTTGTCCTGGACGAGCTAGATGTCTAACCCCACATGCTGGTGGTCATTGAGAAGGACTCACTTAGGGTTTCATGCTGTCGTATATATATACCATTGATCTGCTTATGAAAGGCGGGTTTTCTAACGAGAGAGAGAGAGATACTGAGCAACGCAGAATTACAGAGAGCCTAACTCATGGGTTGTTAGCCTTTAGCAACCCTCGTTGATCATTGGTGATAATACTTCTCAGAAAGCAAGAAGGTTTGTTATCCAGCAGGTGATCTATGAAGTGCTAGAAAAGGGTCGTAACACATCCAAATGCATGAAGTTCGTGTAATCAGCCAAAGTGAATGATACAAACAGAGTTTGTTATCAAAGTCATCCGTAAGTTGATTAAGTCAATACAATAGATTGAGTCTTTTGTTATTGAAGGTGTAATCGTTACGGTGATTTAGTGGAAGGGCTGTTACACGGATGTGGGCCCCACAAAGTAAGAAAGTTTTCCGAACTGCGTAAACAACTTCTCTGTCTTGCATCTTTACTTTATTCTGCGCATTACGTATTTTCGTGTTGGAGGAAGTGCTATAGCATCGTGTTTGTCTTCTAAGTTTCTTTTACTACAATTCCATTATAGTAGCTGTGTGTTTACTAAGCGTGGTGGCAGCCTTTAGAACTTTCAATTGGTATCAAAGGCTGTTCAGCTTAAGTTATTAGCTGAAGAAGACGATCATGGGAGACATGGAGGAAGGTGCAAATGTTCAATGACCACCTCTATTGAGAGGACCAAACTATAACTTTTAAAAAGGATGTATGAGAGCGTTCCTGAAATCACAAGGCGGTAGAGTATGGAGAATCATAGATACTGGGTGGACAGAACCAACAGAAACAAATGCAGAAGGTGTGAAAGTAATCAAAACTTTCGAAAAATACTCAAAGGAAGAAGCCCAAGCTGCTGAATGTAACGACATAGCACTAAATGCATTATTTGGAGCTATTGACAGTTCACAATATAGACTCATTTCAAACTGCACTGAGGCCAAGAAAGCCTAGGAGATTCTTGAAACTACACACGAAGGGGATGAGCGAGTCAAGACAGCAAAAATCCAGATTCTCATGACTAAATACGAAAGCCCGCGCATGGATGAAAAAGAAAGGATAGCAGATTTTCATGGAAGAGTAAGGGAGCTGGCAAATGAAGCTGAAAATTTGAAGCGGCCCTTCACCGAAGACAGTTTAGTTTTAAAGGTGTTGAGAGCTCTACCAGAATCCTATGCAATGGATGCCAAAGCAATTCGTCACGCACATGATATCAAGAATATGACTTTAGATCAACTCATGGGGAATCTAGAGACTATTGAACTGCAAATGAAAGAAGAGCTCAAGCAGAAAAAGAATGATAATCCAATTACTTTTCACAGCCTGGTTGATGAAGATGACAATGAGGATGATACAGCACAAGACGAGGATTTTCAAGAGCAACTGTCACTCTTCACTAGACAGTTCAAAAAACAATGGATACAAAAGAAGGGAAAGAACAACTTTCAGGGTGATTCCTCCAAAGGAATACAATTTAGAAATACACGAGAAAGGGAGACAAGACCTTCAAATGATGATTTCAAGAAAAAGGGCCCTCAGTGCTTTGAATGGGGAGGTTTTGGTCATATTCAATCTGAATGTGCTAATAATCTCAAAAAGAAGAGGCAAACTTTCATGTCAACCTGGAGTGATGATGAGGAAGAAACAGAAGATGTTGTGGGGAATAGCAATTGTGCCTTTGTCACCCAGTACGAAGAAGAAAACGTTGAGGATGCAGCTGAAAAACTCACAGTACTACAAGAGAAGTGGACAGAGCTTCTTCTTATCCATAGGAAGAACATATTAGAAAAAAACAAACTGGCAGCAGAAGTAGATGATCTTCGAAAGAAACTGGATGAAGTCAAGCAGCAGCTGAACCAAACTGAAGGAGAGAAGTCTGATCTGAAATATGAACTCACTCAACTTAAAAGCTATCAAAAGTGGATGAAGAGTGCAGGGGCTGAAAAGATCGAGGAGATGGTGAGCACGTCAAAATTCTATGGGGACAGATCTGGAATTGGGCACACAGTATCCGAAGGTAGCAAGACTCCACTGGACCTGTTCACTAAAGAATCAAGGGACATCACCAAAGAACCAGAGACAAAGGAGTTTCCTGAAAGCGACTCGAGCAAGGGCAAGGAGAAAGTGGTTCAGCATCCAACCTATCATGTAAGGAAGACTTATTCTCTGAATCCTTATTTCAATTATATTTGCTTCTACTGCAGGAAAAAGGGGCACATTAAACGCCAATGTTACAAACTGAAAAACTTAAAGAGAAGAAAGGCTGGTGTAATAAGGCATGTCAAGACCAAAATGAAATGGGTACCTAAACAAAGAGCCTCATGCACAAACCTATGATATCGAGTCACACCTGATCAGTGGCTACTGGACAGTGAATGTTCCCATCATATGACTGGAGACAAGCAGAACCTGACAAATGTGCAACCCATTGAAGGAGGAAATGTAAGATTTGGTGGAGGCGCACATGGACAGATTATTGGGAATGGAACGTTGCATGTATCTAGACTTCCACCAATCAAAAATGTATGGCTAGTTCAGGGACTAAAAGTGAATCTTTTTAGCATTAGTCAGATCTGTGATCAAGGACTTGAAGTAGTATTTACACAACAGAAATGTCGTATCAAGGATAGAAATAAACTGGTGGTATTGGAGGGAGACAGAACTGCTAATAACTGCTACAAAGTAAGACCAAACATCCTATGTTATGCTGCAAGCGAAAGAGACGCCAAATTATGGCACTACAAATTGGGACATATGAACTACAAAGACTTGAAAATGCTATAAAACTCAGGTGCAGTTCGAGGGTTGCCAAAAATCGATGATCAAGTGTGTGGACCTTGCCAGAAGGGAAAGCAGATTCGCAAGAGCCACCCAAAGAAACTAACGCGGACAACCAAACGACCCCTGGAACTACTTCACATTGATCTTTTTGGGCCCATGCAAACCGAAAGCATAGGTGGAAAAAGGTTCGTTCTCATGGTAGTAGATGACTACACCAGATACACATGGATTAGCTTCCTAAAGCACAAAGATGATGCACTGGATGCTTTTGAAGCACTCTACAACAAGGTTCAAAATGAAAAACAACAGAAAATAAGGAAGGTTGTGCGAGTACGAAGTGATCATGGAGGTGAATTTGAAAATGGGCCATTTGAAGAATTTTGCAATCTCCACGGGATAAGCCATGAATTTTCAGCACCAAAAACTCCACAGCAGAATGGAGTAACTGAAAGGAAAAATCGACAAGTACAGGAGATGGCCCGTACAATGATCAACACATACAACTTACCACAAAATCTGTGGGCTGAGGCAGTTCATACAGCATGCTATACAATTAACCGAGTGTATCTCAGGAGTGGAACGCAGGCTACACCATATGAATTATGGAAAGGAAGAACCCCAAGTGTGGCACATTTTCTCATTTTTGGGGCAAAATATTATGTCCTAAGAGATCGAGAACATAGGGGAAAATTCGAATCTAAGAGTGATGAGGCCATTTTTGTTGGATACTCACCAAACAGCAAGGCCTTTCGAGTATACAACAAGCGAACAAAAACTATCATGGAATCAATAAACGTTGTAGTAGATGACCAAGTCTCTCAAAAACCAGTGGATGATCAAATAGAGCCACTAAAACACATTGAAGGGACTGAAGAAGAAATAGAAGCTGAAGAAACAGAAAGTGAAAATGAGCAAGATATTCAAACAGACATGCCAATCACCAGCAGCGTCCCTACCCATATTCAGAAGAGTCATCCACTAGAAAACATTATTGGCACACCCACTGAAGGAATAAGAACAAGGAAGAAGAAGATTGACTTCTTACAGATGACAAAGGCTTACTATACGTCATCCATGGAGCCCAGAAATATTAAAGAAGCCTTAACAGATGCAGCTTGGATAAATGCCATGCACGAAGAGCTGGAGCAATTCGAGAGAAACAAAGTGTGGGAGCTAATACCGAAACCAGACAACATGAATGTTATTGGCACAAAGTGGATCTATATAAACAAGACCGATGAAGAAGGAAATGTTATCAGAAACAAGGCTCGGTTAGTTGCTCAAGGGTACAGATAGATGGAGGGAATAGACTTTGAAGAGACATTTGCTCCTGTAGCATGACTTGAGTCCATACGAATGCTCATTAGCATGGCATGTGTACTGGACATGATCAAATGGATGTGAAGACCGCCTTCCTAAACGGGTATCTAAAAGAAGAAGTATATGTAGCGCAGCCCAAAGGATTTGAAGACTCAAAATATTCAAACCATGTATACAAACTCCACAAGGCACTGTACGGACTAAAGCATGCCCCAAGGGCCTGGTATGAAAGACTAACAACCTACCTTATTGAGGAAGGATATAAGCGAGGGGGAGCAGACAACACAATGTTCTACATCTGGTACAACTCAGATCTACTGGTTGCCCAAATCTACGTGGATGACATTGTGTTTGGGTCAACATCAAAGGCACGAGCTGATGAGTTTGTCAAAGTGATGGAGAAGGAGTTTGAAATGAGTATGATAGGAGAGCTCAAATTCTTCTTGGGTCTTCAGATCAAACAAACAACTGAAGGAATCTTCATATCACAAACCAACTATGCACAAAACATGCTGAAAATGTTCGACATGAGTGACAGTAAAAGTGCTAGAACACCATGTCCAACACATGAAAAAATCAACAGAGACGATAATGGCAAGGGCATCGATGCAACAAGGTATAGAGGAATCATAGGAAGTCTTCTCTATCTGACAGCGAGCAGACCAGACTTATGCTACAGTGTTGGAGTATGCGCGAGATATCAAGCAAACCCAAAAGAATCACATCTCAAAGCGGTCAAGAGGATACTGAAATATGTGAAAGGCACACCAAATTTGGGACTCTGGTACTCAAAAGGAGGTGTGGCAGAACTCATGGCGTTTAGTGATGCAGACTGGGCTGGAAATATAGATGACAGAAAAAGTACTTCAGGAGGATGTTTTTTTCTTGGAGGAAATATTGTGGCCTGGCTAAGCAAGAAACAAAACTCTGTGTCACTTTCTACAGCAGAGGCTGAGTACATAGCTGCGGGCAGCTGTTGTGCACAACTATTATGGATAAAATCAATTCTTGCTGACTACGGAGTCAAACATGACACTATCCCAGTGTACTGTGACAATACAAGTGCCATCAGTATATCAAAAAATCTAGTACTTCACTCACGCACAAAGCATATTGACATCAAACATCATTTCATACGTGAACTAGTTGAACGCAAAATTGTGAGCCTGGAACATGTGTCTACTGAAGATCAACTTGCAGATATCTTCACTAAGGCACTTGATGGAAACAGATTTGAAACACTCAGATCCAAATTGGGTTTGTGTGCACCTTACTGAAAATCCAACAGAAATGATGAAGGAGGAAGTCCACAAATAGAAGTCATGGGGAAATAAAAGACACGTGGAGCAAGGCTACAAATAAGTTAGGCATGCAACACGCCTCTCTATATGTTGAGTCACAAAATAACATATTTTATTCTCTCACTTCTTAGCACTTTTAAGATATTTTGATGCATTTTATACCGAAATATTAATACTTTCCAATATTTAGCATTTAAGGCTATTGTTTATGTTTTATACATAAAATGCATGATTTTGAGCAAGATTATATTTTACAATTATTTGGAAGCATTATTTTGCTTGACACAATCTTTTTAGATATATATTTTGGAGCTCAAAAGCAATTAAAGGAATAGAAGGATTGGGCCAGCCCAAACATGTAATTGGCCATCACCCTTTTGACCCAATTGTTAAAGCAAGGAAATAAATAAATGAAAAAGAAAGAAAGAAACGTAGAAGAGGAAGAGCCCCAGGCGCAAGAACCGACCGGATAGCCTTCTTCTTCAACTCCAACTCTAATTTCAAGTCCTAATCCAAATTGAAGACTAAATCTGGATTAATTTGTGTATAAAAGAAGCAAAGAGAATCGGTTGAACAGGGAGACGGATAGAGACGAGAGAACAGATCGGAGCAGAGCAGGTGCCGACCTAGGGTTCCTACCCTAGGTCCGGCGACGGCAATTGAACAGCGGGGAAGACAACGGGAGGTCTGGACGGCGACGACAATTCCGGCAACGGAAATTGAAGCGACGGACGGCAACTCCGACCCTAGGCATATTCTGAGCGGCGGCCATGGATCGAGAAATTTCTTTGGCAGCCATTTCTTTTCTTTGGCAGTGAACGAACGGATGAAGGAGCAATACTCAGGGGAGCAATTTTCTCCTTTTTAATTTGATTCTTTAATTAAGACTTTCCAATTTATAAGTTTCACAATTTATGAATTTGATTGTCAGTATTAAATATGTTTATTTTCAATTCCATGTTTGTTGATTGTTTAAGTCATATTATAAGTGTTGAATTGTTTGTGTTGATGTTGAATTGATCAAAGTTGATTTATTGATTGATTATTGTCTCTGAAATTATAAAACCTTCTTAGCCCGAATTGTTTGATAAAAAAGGATTGAATCTTTGATTTGGTTTGTTTTTGTTGGATTAATTTGACTTTGAAGGAATTTTAGCCTTTGTGCTACTGTTAAATCTAAACTCAAAAAGGTGTTTGAAAACTGGTCTTTGTTTAAACTTGGATTAGATCAATTTAGGACGGCCGCCTAAACTCTAATTCCAATGGATAGTTTTAAGATCTTGAGTACGTTTATAGCGGAGATTTTCAAAACACAAGTGTCGCCTGGTTAATACTTAATTGATTCCCACTCGGTTTTTATTAATCAGAGTTTTCAAGCTGGCTATGTTAAATAGATATAGACTACTGCATAGTTGTTAAGTGATGTTTTCCAAAGAACTTAATGCTCTATTTTTAATTAAATCTGGGGGCAGGTCCTTGGGTTGTTAAGAATAGTAGGGTCTACAGTTAGGGCAGGACTTAACATAGGCTATATTAGGGAGAATAGAGAAGAACCGCAGGTGGACCTCTTCTTCAGCTTAACCCTGAGTTTGATTAGCAGTTTAGTTTCAAGATTAAGACATAATTAATTGATTAATCAGATTTGTTCAGTTTATTTTCTACTGAAAACTATAAGTATTTTCAAAATGGTTTAAGTTAATTATTATTGTCTACGTTTTATAAAGTTTAGTGTGTGATTGTTTGTGTGTTTGTTCCTCCCTGAGTTTACTTCTGAGTTCGACTTGCTGCTGTGGTCTTATCTCGTATCTGTTATCTGTTATCTTTTATCTTTATTTTATTTGCATTTTTATCTTTTTAGAATTATCATTCAAAACCCCCCATATCTATTAGTTTAGTTTTAGTTGTTAGTTTAGTTAGTTTTTCTGCAAACATGGTGCGCACCAAAATAGCTCTGCCACAGCGATGGAAGAATCCTCACAACGCAAAGTGAAGTGCAATATTACTCAAAAGATTTGCACGAGCTAGAGCGAAGCTGCAGACCTCAATTCCCTTAGAAGAAAGCAATCAAGCACCAACACCACCCCAACCAGATGAAAACCTTCAACCAAATCCTCCAGATGAAAGATCTCATGAAGAACAACTTGATGAAGCACTCCTCAACCCGGATCTGCCAACTGTGTTCTATCTGGAATACACGGCACATGAGAAATCTCGCAAGATGCACTCAACTCCAGATGCAATAGACAATGCAGATGAGAAAAGTCACTCACATCTAGGGATGTAAACAAATCAAATATTTTAAATTCGATTCGCGATTTGTATTCGAATATGATGATTCGAATTCGCGTTATTCAAATTCAAATATTATTTTTGATTCGAATATTAATCAAATACAAATACAAATAGGGATATATTCAATTCGGATGATATTCGAATATTCGAATATATGTATATATACACAGACCATGTTTTCAACATCAAAAGTCAAGCAAAGTAATATAGTATAAAGTGTATTTAAAATACTAAGAATTCAATAAATTAACATAACACGAAAATCTAAAGCATATGATTTTTAATAGTTATATTTTATAAAATATAATTTGTGTAAGATGCAGATGTATTAATGTTTTTATATACCGAATATAGTATAGTATAAAGAGTTCCGTAAGTTAAATTACAAATTGATGTTGGTCCATCATATAAATTACATAGTATGATTATTCAAATATTCGTTTATGATTCGATAACTATTCGAATATTAATCAAATACTTATTCAAATCTTATTTTGAATTCGTCTCATATTCGGATTCGGATTCCTATTCGAAAAAATTAAACAAATACAAATTCAAATATATCGGTATTCGCTTCGATTCGGTTCGTTTACACCCCTACTCACATCACAAGCAACAGGATGAGCCATGCAAAACCACACCAAGTGAACCATGTCAGACTGAAATTGGTAGAGATGAGGAGTTTCTGAATTTGCTGGATGAAGAATCCTTGATGGCTGTTTCTGAAGTCCCATTCCACACATCGGCCAGCACAGTCAATCCCCCACAGAATCAAAAGGCAAAATCCAAAGCATCAGTCTCCAATCTAGTTCGCAATCTAGTTCGTTGGTCCAAATGCAAACTAGCATCTGAGATCCACACACCTGAAGCATCTCCACCACCCTCCAAAAAGGTCAAGAGCAATGTTCAGAAGTCAACCTCCAACTCCAAGACACCCCAGACAAGAACAAAGAAACAGCAGAATGTTCTCCCAGGAAAGTCCTCTGACATTATTTTCCTCACCTCTACTGCAAAATCATTTATGAATCTGATTGAGGAAAAACACATCATTTCCCAACGGAATATTGATGTTGATGATTTTACTTTGAAAACCAATCTCATGCCTCTGCTGAAAGCAAGAAAATTGCTGAAATCTGTAACACTGCCTGGGTCAAGCAAATCATTCGTGAATTTTACTGCAACTTAAATGAAAGCTTTGTTAGCCCTACTAATGAGAACTTTGAAAAAGTGTTTGTGCGAGGAAAGTACTATGATTTCTCCCCTGCTGCAGTTAATAAATTCTTGGGTATGCATGATGAACTGGATGTGCACATTGGGGAAGCCACTATGTGGAAGGAACTGACACATGGTGCCAGAAATAGTCAACAACTAACCCTCAAACAAAGTCCCTTCATCCATTCTCAACAGCTCCTACTCCATTCTCCTGCGCGTTGCAGCGTGTCACTGGCTTGCAAACACTGTCACCAAGGCCATGGGGATGCTCCTCTACAAAATAAAAAATGATGTCCCAATCAACCTAGGAAAGCTGATTTTGTCCCAGATTGCTGAATTTGGAAAAAGAAACTACAAGCAAAATGATAATGGTCTGCCCCCTGTTCTAATCTTTCAGATGCTTGTTTCCCAGGGATTTGTCAAAGTTGCTGCTGACAAGGAGGAGCCACCAGAGCCACTACTGCAGATCGACTACAAGCATTTTGAAGGAAACCATTTCAATGACATGGAGTCCACTCAAAGCTCTTCTCAGCAAGGAGTGTCAGCTGTGATCCAATATCTGGATGCCAAGCTACAAGCAAACAGAGAAGAGATGAGAGTGACACTGGCCAAACAGTCAGCACTTGAGGAGGAGCACAAGCATCTCACCTGGCTTAGAGAAGTTGTGTTTGACAGTGCTGCAACAGAGGGAGTCAGGGGGAGAGGTCTCAGTGGGAGGAAGAGGATGATGAAATGTCAGCATAAGTGGTTTTTTTCTTTATAAACTATTTGCATCTCAAAATTTGACATTGTTTTGGTTGGTTGTTCTGCCCTGTTTCTGGTTTCAAACATTATGCTTTACTGTTTTTTCTATGACTGCTAGCCAAGTTTCCCTTGGATATTTGAACTTGGTTTGACATTTCTCTATATTTGCCTGCACTTGGATATCTACAGCCTCATCTTTCTACATTCTATGGTCTATTGCAAATATTCCTATAGCATGGTGTAGGTACACTCTCAAGCCCCTTTTCTGGATATATTGTGTGTCATGTACCTCTCTTGCTCAGATGTTGAATATTACTCTTCTCTGTTGCCCAATCTTTTCTAAATACACTTTGGCACTTTTTGAGCAAAAAAGGGGTGAGAAGAGGTTCAACGGCCAGAGAGTCTAGCTTATTTGTTTTTGTCCAAAAGGATGGCCAAAGGGGGAGATTGTTAGTTAGTATATAGTCTACGACGTACAAAGAGGGAGAGTCTGGAGTCTGGGTTTTTTGTTTATTGTTGGTTGGCCTTATCCTTATGACAAATACAAATAGCAGGAATGAGGGTCGTGTAAGTTGTCTAGTTGGCTTGGGATTGTAGCGTCCTGCCATGTTATGGAGTCAAGAAGGATATGCACGTACTTGTCCTGGACGAGCTAGCACACTACTACAGGATAGGGAATACACAGTGGATAAATTTGATATTTCACAGCGCAAATCAACCGTTGTGTATGTGACCGGTGCAATAGGTATCATGTTTACACAGCGGATATTTATCCGCTGTGTAAGGGTTCTTAAAAAATTATATAGTTTACACAGCGGATATTTATCCGCTGTGTAAAGTCAATATTTATTTAAAAAAAATATCAAATTCAATAGTATCACAAATCCATAACACAAAAAACATGGATAGTTGAGCATGAATTCAACTCCAACTTACACAATTCAATTCCAAATTACAAGTACTCCGTAGTATTCTAAACTATCAACTATAGGATTACTTGCACACATTTTATCTATAGAGCTTGATCCTCATTCCTTTCTCTTGAAAGAGCAAGTTTCAGTTGTCATGAGAAACACAATTAATAACTAACTTTGATTAAATTCCTTTCTCTTGTATAGATGACTTCGCAGCAACATGTGCCATCTAATGTGTTGACAATTTGCAATAGCTGGAGTGAGTGAGAATGGCTGCCAACAGCAAGATAGAATAAGTTAGGATAAACAAAAAAAAGATTTACACTATGGTGTATATCAGATCATTACATACGAAGGTATTTGGATTTTTTCCCACACCTAATGTTGCCGATTCAAACTATAAGAAACTAATATCAAATCACTGTGTGATCAAACTATGAATGGACAAATTAAATACTGCTCCATAGAAGTTTCTTCCTTAAGCCCATTTTGGATGGGTAAAGAAAAACAAAAAAAATATAATGGAGCTTAAGCTAATGAACATACCTCTAGGAAGTCGGCGGTGTTTTTTTCCCTCCAGCATCTGCCCGGGATCATCTCGAGGCAAGAGCATTTGGGTTCACCTTCTCAGACTCCAACAGAGTAAGGATGTCGCCGTCTCAGACAGGTCCCTTCACGTTCCTCGTGATAAACCTATTGGAGTCATCATTAAACTTGACTCTCACCTGGGTCACTTGACCCCGGGATCCGGTGCGACCCATCACCTTCACCACAACAGCATATGTTTCAGTTGGAGCCCAACATATGTGATCATCTTGATAATAAAAATCAGGCAATTCATTTTATAATCTAAAAGCATAAATTTCAGATTCTGTGCAATCTTGAGAGATGATCAATTCAAATATTGATTAAAACACCATTGTTCCAAGAGAAAAAAAAATTAAAACTGAACATAATGCATCAATTTCAAAACTTATCATCTAAAAGCATAAATTTCTACTCTGAACACTTTAGTCATATACTGCTCAATTAATGCAATTCCTACAAGGTTAAACATCAAGCATAATTCCATAAACAAAATCTGCAAATCTGAAAAAACACTCGCCACATGAAAACTTCAGAATTCAGGGAAACACGAGTTCAAAAACCACGCATACAAATTTCACAGAGAATCCAAAACAGATCTAACCTTAGACTTGGTGAATAAAATACATTGGAGAAACAACATATTTTCTCCAATATGAATGTTACATCCGGGAAGAGTGTTTACTTACATTAGCCAAATGCACTTTACTAACCTTTGTAATGCAAAATCACACAAAAAATCTTAAAATCCTGCAAATGGAGCAAAACATCAAAGAAAAATGAAAGAAAACTACGCATTGAATTAAGATAACACATCAACAAAGAATTTTTGAATTATCCATGTTTTATTAGGCCATTTAGTATTGTTAAAGATACCAATTTGATTGAATACAAACCTTGAAAATATTACATCTTTATTGTGTATAGTACACTAAGTGTTGTTTTTCATGTTCTGTCTAAGTTCATAGTAAATTGAAAGCAATAGAAAGTGACCTTAATTAGCTTTTACCTGCTCCAAAAATTAAAGTAAGTGCAGGCCACATAGCTGATTAAAAGATTCCAAAGCACTTGCACACTCTACATTTTTCAACATAAAGCCAAAAATGTTTGCTTGAGCATAACGGAAACCAGCATTTAGTATCACTTCATATTCTTCATCAGCACTGTATAAGTATAAATGTGTAGGTGAACGACTATATAACAAACAGAGAAAAACAAGATTTTATTTTGTTACTGCAAAAAACACAAACTAGTCAGAATCATGCCAACAAGATTCATTAAGTAAATGATATAGAGGAATAAAGATAAATATAGAGGAAGGAGAAAACTAATAGATAAACTTAGATGACCAAAATGTAAAAAGCTAGTTGACAAACCTCTAAAACTTCACTAATGAAATAAAATGAAATACAGAACCTTTTTTTACTAATCATACCTGTTCGTTCTATGAACAAAATTGCTCTTCATAGCTTCTTAGTAGTTAAAATAAATAGCATATACTCCGTAATTAGGTAACTAAAAGTTTGAACTGTATAAAGCTAATTAACAGACGAGCATTAACTAGTACTCTATAATAGATTAAAATTACACAATTGTGAAATCTAAATTTTGCACATTACACGAGAGGAAAAAAACTAAAATTGGGGCTACTTGCGATTCAGCAGGGGAAGTGCGATTCAACCAAATGAATGTAATTCAGGGAAACAGAGTAAATTAGGGCTAACCTGCGATTCAACCCAACGGAAGTGCGGCTAACAATACATATACTATACATCGTAAATTAGCAGAGCAAGCATGCTAACCTTTCAATTTGTGAGAAATCCGAGGGCTTGAGGGAGATGTTGAAGGACTTGGCTGGGTGAGATCGTTAGGGTTGTTCGTTGGCGAGGGAGTTCACTGCCGATAAAGATGTAGCTGAAGATCCAGCGGCGATGGCGAGGGAGTTCGCTGTATGCGTCTGGGAGCGGTATGGAGAAATTGAAGGGTTGAGTATGTATTGCAGCGAAAATCGAAGGATTAGAAAACCCTGGTCTACTTTCAACAGCGCTTTTTTTTAATCCGCTGGTTTAGAATAAAAACTTAAACGATGCGGCCCAACCCAATTTCTTTTGTGCGCGCGGTTTTCCTTCTTAAACAAACAACATCGGTTCTCATTATTCCGATGTGTAAAATGCAGTGTGAAATGATTATTCTGTAGTAGTGTAGATGTCTAACCCCACATGCTGGTGGTCATTGAGAAGGACTCACTTAGGGTTTCATGTTGTCGTATATATATACCATTGCTCTGCTTATGAAAGGTGGGTTTTCTAACGAGAGAGAGATACTGAGCAACGCAGAATTACAGAGAGCCTAACTCATGGGTTGTTAGCCTTTAGCAACCCTCGTTGATCATTGGTGATAATACTTCTCAGAAAGCAAGAAGGTTTGTTATCCAGCAGGTGATCTATGAAGTGTTGGAAAAGGGTCGTAACACATCCAGATGCATGAAGTTGGTGTAATCAGCCGAAGTGAATGATACAAACAGAGTTTGTTATCAAAGTCATCCGTAAGTTGATTAAGTCAATACAATAGATTGAGTCTTTTGTTATTGAAGGTGTAATCGGTTACGGTGATTTAGTGGAAGGGCTGTTACACGGATGTGGGCCCCGCAGAGTAAGAAAGTTTTCCGAACTGCGTAAACAACTTCTCTGTCTTGCATCTTTACTTTATTCTGCGCATTACGTATTTTCGTGTTGGAGGAAGTGCTATAGCATCGTGTTTGTCTTCTAAGTTTCTTTTACTACAATTCCATTATAGTAGTTGTGTATTTACTAAGCGTGATGGCAGCCTTTAGAACTTTCAGAACTTTAATTCTACAATAAGAATGAGAACTTTCTTTGGTTCTTTCATGGTCAACAAATGCTTTTGGACAATCTTTCCATCCACTTGTTAAACCCAACTTCAGTAAAAGCCTTTGATCCATTTTTGTTTGTATTCGCAAATAAATAATAATGCAAACAATATGCTCTATCCTTGGCGACACTATACTCCAACCACTTAAACTTCTCAAACCAATAACTTTGAAATCGTCTTTTGTTTTTGCCTGTCATAGTTTGTGGAAATTTATCCATTGATGGCTTACAAGGACCTTTTACTAAATATCTTCTCCTTATTACATCTCTAATTTCCAATGGATAATCATTAGTTGGTTTTCGTAATCTCAGATTAGCAATAATATCATCATTTGAAACCACACTTTCTTTCTCTATAGAAGAAAAAGTTTCTTTTTCATTGTCTCTATTACTTACAAATTTTAAATTCTTCTTTTGTCTAGTAACAAATTTATACATCTCACATCTCAAAATTTCCTAATTCAATAATAAAGTAACAAAATAAAATATATATCAATAACCTTAAAAGTTAAAACAACAATTTCATATATCTTAATCTCTAGAACTTGAAATTACATTAACACTAGTATCAACCTCGTGCTTCGCACAGGCTCACATATATTCCAAAATTTGACATCTAAAAAATAAAATTATAAAATACATTGTTTTTTTAGTTAATAAGTTTTATAATTTTTTTGTTTTATAAAATAGTCGCGTATATTTAAAAAATATGTTAAAACAACAAAAAACATTTCTTAAATAGTTAGAAAGTGAAAATTTTATTTAAAAAATAAGGGTTTTTATTGTTGAAAAGTGAAGGATTTATAAAATTTAATAAACATAATCATTTAATACAAAATTGAATATGCATATGTGGAGTGACATGTGTCTTGTGATTTACACGTGGCATGACACATGTAAGTAATATGCACGTGTGGCATGACACGTGTCATCACCACAACTAAGTAACTCTATTTTACATATATATATATATATATATATATGTATGTATATATATATATATATATATATATATATATATATATATATATATATATATACATATATATATATATATATATATATATATATGTAGTAAATTCTATAATTAGTCCTTTATAACAGGGGGGTTTCCCTATTTAGTCCTCTATTATCAAATATTATCCAAGTGGTCCTTCTTTTATAGGTATCTTTCCACAAATAGTCCTTTTTTTGATCTTCTATCATGTTGGTGTTAATTTGAGGGCTAAAAGTGTAATTTCACAATGATAATATATCTTTTTTGTCATACACAATTCCAAAGGCTGTTCCGTTTGCGTCGTTTGTGAATTACAGTCGCTTTTTACGACAACTATAGTCTACAAATGTGATCTTTCGTCAGAATCCTAGCCCAGAATTATAGTTATTATTTTTGTGTTATCCGCTTAACCAATATCAGAACACGTCACTAGACATAATATTGACGTCAAATTATACTTTTAGCCTTTAAATTAACACCAACACGGTAGAAGATCAAAAAAAGGACCATTTGTGAAAAGGTACCCTTAAAAAAGGACTATGGGGGTAATATTTGATAATAGAGGACTAAATATGGAAATCGCCCTGTTATAAAGGACCAATTATGGAATTTACTCATATATATATATATATATATATATATATATATATATATATATATATATATATATATATATATATATATATAAACACACTACAACCACGGAACAAAATAAATATTCAAAATTCAAAACCTAATTTAGCAATATTCAAAAACTCAAATATTAAGAAACAAATCTCAAAAATTACCGGTCCTTCAGCAACCTTCGCTCGGAATCTGGAGTACTTGTCTTCCGTCTTCCGTCTTCTGGAGTTCAACAATCGCCAATGGCCAATCAGCAGCCTCTGTGTTTTTTTTGGTTCAATCCTCATCCTCCATTTTTTTAATTTTTTGGGCATTTGGAGATTTGGGCTACTGGCAGTACTGGGCTGTGGATTGTTGGGCTGGGTAAAATAGATTTTTTAAAACCTATTCACCAAAACGACGTCGTTTCGTTCTGTATTTTTTTGTTCCACATCAGTTCATCTTCTCCGTTGGACTCTGCCCGTCTGCCGGCTGGGAAGCCTGGGATTTCTTCGCTGCAAATGGGGGGGCAAATCCGGCCTCCATCGCCGAGGGTACCATAATCCATCATCGCCGGAATTTCGCCGGGGGGGGGGGGCACTTGCCCCGGCATGCCCCCCCTCCTCCGCCCCTGCCCGTAAGCTTAAGGGATTAGACATAGAGATCAGTGAGTGTTTTCTTGTGTACTTTACCATGACTTCTCTTCCTGCATCTTTTAAAGCTGTCAATGTCAACTACAACACCCAAAAGGTCAATTGGTGGATGAATGAGTTGATTGCTATCTGTGCACAAGAAAAAGAGCGCCTGAAGCTGGACAAACCAGATGTGGCTTACCTCATGACTGCTAATCTAAAGAAAAGGATGGGCAATGTCGATAAGAAGGAAGTTTCTAAGTTCCAGAAACGTGATGCAGGTGCTTCTTCAAACTCTAAGAACTCCAAAGGAAAGTCTTACTACAAGTTCTATCGCAAGGAAGGACATAGGCAGAAAGGCTGCCAAGACTTTAAAGAGTGGCTGACTAAGAAAGCTAATCATCTTTACATGATACTTGAGTCCTTTAATTTAAATATTCCAACTAGTACATGGTGGTTTGACTCTGGTTCTATGGTTCATGTAACCAACTCAATTAAGGGATTCTTTACATTCCAGAAGCTAGCTTAAAAAGAAACTGAAAAATACTTAAACTGGAAAATCGAATAGAACTAGCTATTGAAGCCGTGAGAACCTTAGAATTAATAATGGAAACTGGTTTATGTATTAAACTTTATGATACCTTGTTTTTATTTTGTTTAATTGTTTGGTACTCTGTATTTTAATTTCATTTTGTAGATTGATTTTGGTTTTGGACCTATTGAAGAAGAAGAGGAGATGGGTAGGTTGAATAAGAAGAAGACAGATGATATAGGGGTAGAGTGAGATTGATGGAAAACAATGTAGCTACATGTTAAGGGAAAATTTAGAAATTCAATACATTTTTCACTTAACATTAAAACTCGCGCAAAGTCAAAATGAGAGGTTTTAATTTGGACGGAGGAAATATTTTATTTTCTTATTGTATTGTTACTATAATTCTTCTCCGACTTAAATTAGAATTCTCTCTTATTATTATTACTATTCCTATTATTATTATTATTATTATTATTATTTCTATTATTATTATTACTACTACTATTATTATTACTCTTACTATTATTATTCCTATTATTATTAAAATAACTATTATGATTATTATTGTTATTATTATTACTATTACTATTACTATTACTATTACTATTACTATTACTATTACTATTACTATTACTGTTATGTATTATTAATAATATAACTATTATGATCATATTAATATTATGAGTAAATTCCATAAAAGGTCCCCAGTTATAGGTCGTTTTACATATTAAGTCCCTACATATCAAATATCAATAATTTAGTTCCCAATTATTATATTGTTTTCCAAAAATAGTCTCATGTTAATATTTCTGTTAAGAAATATGGATAAATTGTATATTCACACTCTTCTCTCTTCAATTAAGCTTCATCCATCCTCTCGTACTCAATCCTAAGCCCGTTGCTGAGTTTGAAGCTCTAAACCCAAAACCAAAACGATCACTCCTTCCTCAATTGTTCATCTTCCTGGTAGAACTCAAAATCGAAACCAATAACCTTCATGGATGAATTTATGGGTTAGTCTAAAAAAATTGCAAAGAAAAAAACCTTAAAACTCATCCATAAAGGTTACTGGTTTTGATTTTGGATTCCATCAGGAAGACGAACAATTGAGAGAGGAAGGATGATTTTGATTTTTGGTTCAAAGCTTCAAATTCAGCAACGAGTTTGAGAAAGGAGTGCGAGAAGAGAGAGGAAGCCTAATTGAGGAGAGAGAGGAGCGTGGATTTACAAATTTTTCACGTTTTTAATGGAAATGTTAACAAAGGACCATTCGTGTAAAATACTATCATAATTGGGGACTAAATTATTGATATTTGATATGTAGGGACTAAATATGTAAAACGAATTATAACTGGGGACCTTTTATGGATTTTATTCTAATATTATTATTATAATTATTATTATTACTATGATTATTACTATTACTATTATTATTATTACTATTATTTCTATTAGCATTATTATTATTATAAAAATAATTTTAATTAGATTAGATCCAATCAGATCAGATCAGATCTAATCAGACCAGATCAGATCAGATGAGGCGAACGGAACGCAACCTTAGATAGATGATGGATTGGATGTTGAAGTGATAGTGGCAGTTTGGAAGAACACGTGGTTCTTAGGGAGGATGACGGTTCCTAAGGATGATGATTTATGAAGAAAATGATGAACCCGTTGGCGGTCGGGCACCAAGATCAAGGCTAATACCTTATAGAAATCCGAATAAGTGTTGGTATTTGATTTTAACTTTATCTAGTCCAACATATTTATCTAAGATGTGTGTCTAGCAATTGAGCCGAGAATCGAAGGCAACTCATGAATCGAGTGGCACGGGTCAACCCGCCTAGACTGAGAGTCTGAGAGGAATGCCTTAATGGGCTGGAGCCGGTTGCTATGGTGAGTTAGTTGGAAGGAGATTTACTTAGTTTCCTAAGAGAAATCTAATATGATTAAAGAGGTAACTAAAAATACTCTCCCAAGACATACGATTAAGGAGTCTTTCACATCATTTTTGAGTTCTATATTCTTCTCTACTATCATTCATATTTTGTAGATTGATCACACTGACTTATTAGAGTCATCAATTTTCTATCAAACTGTCAATGCCGCAATGCATATTTTTACATCTCAATATCATTATACTCCTACATTGTTCTTAAAAGACTTAAGACTCATATTTTAACATTTTCATACTTTTTTACTCTTATCCAGAGAAATTCTTCATAACAATTTGAAAAAATTGAAAAAATCACAATGATAATTTTGTAAATAATTTAAACTATTTTGTCAGTGCCGAAAATGCACTACACGTGTAAATGCATCAAGGCAACCAAAAAACGCATCATTCTCATTTCTTATAGTAAGGATCATTCTAACTTAATTCTAACTTAAATCGCACTCTATGTATATGTATATATGGTATATATTTCTCCCTGGTACGGAGTATATTCTTATCAAAAGTAAATTCTCGCCATCAACAGGAACCAATAAGTATGTGCCTAATAAGATTATTTCTTTAATTTTTACAACTTGAAAAAAATCATTCTATCCACCAGCAGCTAACGAAGTGTACTTGCACCACCTTTGATTGAAAGCGCTTGCCCGCGGGAGGAAGCGCGATTATTATTATTATTATTATTATTATTATTATTATTATTATTATTATTATTACTACTAACGAAATGATCGTCGAGGAACAAAACGATGATGCTGATGTCATCGTGAAAATGCCTTCTCACGCCGCCCTCTATCTTTATCAAGTCCGAATACCTCATTTCTCTCTTCTTTGCTGCTTCATGAAGTGCAGCTTTCATAAGTTTCCTAGCAACACCCTTCACAAACAATTAATTAAATGTTTACATTTTATCTATATATTGCATTCATCCATAAAAGAAGAAGATTAGAAATGTAAGGCTATGTTTAAAACTCGGGAAGTGGTACGGGGAAGAAGGGAAAATTGCTAAGTGGTTTTTAGGGTCAAGTTTTAACTTTAAAAATGTGAAGGACAGTCTTAGTATAATAAAAATAAATAATTGAATAAATAAAAGAGAGTTTGAACTTTGAAGGCATATATCCAAGCTTGATTAATTAATTTTGAGAGCTGTATTTTCTTCACTTCCACATTCCTCCCTAATTTATTTCCTTAGCATTCTTGAAGTCCCTAATGGATCCAAAGGCTCTGTTTGGATGGATAGTAGGTTTGAAGGGTAAGAAAAAAATAAGAGTAAGTGAAAAAAACTGTCTTGGAGGTGTACACTTTAGTCTCTTTAAAACTCAATCCAAACAGAGCCCACGACTTCCAAGAAAAAAATATGAATGTTTTATTCAAACCTTTTTCATTATAGAAGCAACGCAACAAACTTACATTGCGTGGGCAAGTATTCACGATTTCAACTGCCTCTTGGTTGGTAAGATGCTCCCATAAACCATCTGATGCAAATATAATGAACTGATCTTCAGGGAGGAGTTTGTGAACATGTATGGAAGGCTCGGCTTTGAGGATTGGGGTATGGAAGGGCTTAGATAGTCTAAACTTTGGCAACAAAGGCTCCCTGTTGAACTCCCATCTCTTGAAATATGCATCACCAATTGATCGTGAAATCTGCAATGTGATTCCATACCAACAGTGTTCAATTCTAAACACCTTGAAAAATTGAATCTGACAAAAATCAGGAACTAGTTTCTTCTCTTTTTTTTTTTTGAGCATGGACACAATTTGATGGGTTTAGCAATTTCACCTAGTCACATTACAATGTTTCAATGGCTTTAAAAATTTAATAGGGGTATTTTGGATTTTTAGTCATAGATGTAATATTGCAATAATTTTATCCTGCTGATAGAAAGTAAATAACCATTACTTGTATCACGACATTCGTGCCCTATTTTATTGTCCTTTTTTTCTTTAATTGTTGGCATTGCTCTTTTCCTTTTGCTCTTGCTTCATAATTTCCAATATGTGTTCCCATTTTAAATTTTGGAAAGGAATCAAAGGATCCACCTACTGAAATGCTATCTTCCCTAAACTTTTTCCTCTTTTCACTCTCTTCTCTATACCCTGCACACTACTAGCATTCTTAAATTTTATGCCAAATGAGATGAGAGCACTAACATGGAAGAGAGGGAGTATATGCAATAATGCAAATTTGTAATCTAAGATTCCCTGATTATGTTATTAAGATCACTACTCTCACACCATGAATCTAGCACAACTCTAGTAACTAGCAAGTGAGTTCTAAATTAATCAATTAATAGAAGGCATGAAGTGACACTATCATGAACAATTGCAAATGATAAGGACGGATGGCACAGAAAAAAGTTCTCAATAAGTCACCTACTCACCTGTATAAGCCCCTTGACGCGCCAAACTGTGTGCTTCAAAACTACTATCTCCGGGTCATCAGGATGCAACAAGTGTAGTTCGTCTCTAACGGATTCCAGATTTGCATTGTGTTCAGAAGACAATTGTATGGCTTTAACATCTTTTGTGTGCTTCTCAACTCTTCCTAATACTGCACGGGAATCTCCAGCATTCGCAATATACAATAAACCATTGCAGACAATGCCAACCAAACAACATGACCCCACCGAAGCAATTTGAGGTTTCATAAGCCACTGCTTTCTGACCAAGGATAGAAACTCCTCTTCTGTTTCCAAATATGCTTTGGTTATAACCTCAGCTGACATTTCTTGCTTTTGGGTGGTAAATTCTGCATCACAAAAAGCCTATCAAGCAAGTTACCCCCAAAAACACCATTTGGCATTTGCAGTGTAAAATTAAAATTTGCAAGGGTGCTAGAGCCAAAGGAGGGGTCTAATTCAGCGCCGTTCAGGTGAGAGTTATTTAGATGAAATGGTTGAATCTACGGAATGAAAAAAATGTTTAGTACTGTAACACCCATTATGTGCAAATAAGTCAAAATCTACTTATTTTGATATGAGTAAGATAAACACAATAAGCTCCTGAATGCCACTTTATGGGACTTATGAGGTTTCTTGTTGTTTAAATGCTCTGGAACAGACAAGCTAGTAATCGTTGGAATTACATAGTACAAGCACACCAGAGAGCCTTCATACTAATAAACTGTCCTCTTTTTCACACTACAACTTGCATATGTTTTTCCCATTTGACATAAAAGGAATCAAAAGAAATTTTAATTTGACAAGAAGTGAAAAATAAGGTAAACATACTCTTGATATTGTTGAAAAGGTGATTAGATATGAAGTGGGCAGCGTCCGGACCAGCATGTCCATCATACACCCCGACAAATGTCCCTTGAGGCCCCGTTTCAACGGAGCTCAACGCCCCCGATTCCAGCTGGCTCTGATCTTCCAGTACGTTATTAGCTTGAATCACAGCCATGGAGAATTCCCCATTCAAATGGTGCCCTATATCTTTATACCAAAGCAACCCATCAACCCGTCCGTTAGGGTCTCCCCCTCTGCTGCTCCAGTCTTGGCCTTCGTCTTCAATGGAAGGCCTCCAACAAGGGTACACAATCTTTCTGAATGCAGTAGTCACCATTCCTTACATATCACGCTTCCGATCACCCAAAGCTATCAAACAATCACCAAATCTCTCTTACCCAGCGGAATTCTGGCTAAAATTTCGCACCTATACCGAAATTAACAACAAAACCGGAAAACAAAGTTTCAGACTTTATGCATTCGCGAATCAAAAAACATCGATTGATCTCAAAAGAAATAAAAACAGAAAATCAAACAAACGGGCATCCTAAAAACTGCAATATGACTAACATAAACATCAATAACAGGCATCACAATTAAGATCCAGAGCGGGAAACCAAAATAAGAAACGGAAAATCGATATGAATATACATGAAAAAACTAAAATAAAATAATAAGAGGGAGCAAGATCAATGCCTTGGATGAAATTCGGGAGGCGCCTCAACTCCGGTGGCGGTGGCGGTGGCTGCAAGATCCCGTTTTTTTCACTTTTTCAGAATGGCGCGATCTGCTTTATAGCGTGAGGGAGGAAATGGGGCGAGGGTGGAGGAGTTGGTTTGTTTTGGAATTTCTTTTGGACCTTGTATTCCACTTATTCATCGTCAAAATGACTACACATTCCTACTCCTTATTTCATACTAGGTCCGTTCCCAAATTGATTTTTTTCTCTATGTCGATAACTTTTGTTTGTTTACACGATTTCAATAAGTATTTGATAAAATAAAATATTTTAATCACCTCTGATTTTGTAGAACTTTTGACATAGTTTTTTAATATATAATTTTCATTTCTTATCAAAATATCAATTTGTAAATTAGATGATTTCAAAAGGTGAGATATTTCTCCTCGTAAATCACAATTTGTAATCAAATTGGGAACGGAGGGAGTAGATTCTAGAATTTATAATTAGGGGTATTGTTTTTTAAACACTTACAGTATCGCTTAGACCATGTTCTTTTCACATAATCTGAATGATTTTATCTAATTGATATAAGTTTTGATCTGATTTGAATATAGTTATATTTAAATTTGTTTTCGATATGTTCTGATCTGAACTGATTTCAATAAGAAAATATATTTTTAATCTATTTTATTTGATTGTAGATATAAAATTAATAAATAAAATTTATACGAAAACTAAATAAAAAAATTATGAAAAACAAGAACTGATATAGCTAAATTATTTTAAAAAATACAGAGTATATAACAAAAATAAGCTAACACGAAGAATAAAATTTAAACTTGTGGATAGTGTATAAAATATTTCCCAACCGAGGAAATATAATTTTCACAAAGTGCTATGAAGGGGTATGATAAGAAATTTGTGTTAAAGAAAAAAACATTGATATTCCAATTACATTTTTATTAAAAAAAATTTACGAAATTGGTGTTGACAAATATTTAATTTTACAAATTGATTGTTGGTAGATTTCATTGTTACGAAACATTTTATTATTTCTGAATCGTTTTATATATTTTATAGAAAAATATATTAATAAAAACAAACTCAATTACAAAACAGCACCTTCTTTTTCATTTACAAATTCAAACCTAACTTTTATTTAATTTACAACTTACGATTAAAAAAATTCTTTTCTTAACAATTCCAGGTACCAATCCGCTTTGTCTTCATCCTTGCCGAGTTCAAAATTCAAATTTTAGAACTATAATTCTACCAATTTTTGAAGAACATTTAAAATTTGAAATCATTTTTTTGAAAGATGGAATTTGAAATCATAAGATCTCAAATATTATAATTAGCCAATTTGGTGCCATAATATTACTAGTGGTCAAATTTGGTGCCAACACATGACGTCATTGCTCAAGTTCTCTCAAGTTTCCAGTCAAGTGAATGACAAAGTAGAATCTTCAGGTGTTGCACGCCGGCGAACCCACTTATGCTAAGCATATTTGTTGACTGCAAAAATTGTGCATAAGGTGTGACCCAAGGTGGGTATAAAGTTGGTCCGAATTGCGGATTGCGTTTTCTAAATGGCTACTGATGAAGATTCAGAAGCACCCCTCGTTGAAAATTCCCAGATTCAAAGGGGATCTCCAAAGCACGACGAAAGAGATGTTCATATCCTGAGCTTTGCCTTCCTGTTGATTTTCTTGGCTTATGGGGCGGCTCAGAATCTTGAAAGCACCATTAATACTGTGGGTTTCTTTTTCTTTCCGACCAATAAAAGTTCGATACACAAAATGAACAAGCAAAATTGTTTTTTTTACCTTTTATTACTTGGGTCTTTCTTATTGCAGGCAGAAGATCTGGGGACAACATCTCTGGGGGTATTGTACTTATCATTCACTGGTTTCTCTGTAATTGCTTCTTTTGTGGTTAAGAAACTTGGGTCGAAGAATGCTCTGATTCTTGGCACTACTGGCTATTGGTTGTTCATAGCTGCAAATTTGAAGCCCACTTGGTAAAGCTCCAGCCTTTTAAAAAAAGTTATATTCATGAAGCTATGCTATCTTGTGTGCATTGTCAATGAAGCTAAAAAAAAGTATTTTTTGACGATGTTTAAGCTTTGGGTAAATACTGTAATGTAATGTACTAAATCAAACGATACATTAAATTTCCCTTTGTTATATGTGTGTGTGTGTGTGTGCGCGCACACACACACTACCTCCGCCTTCATTTCATATACTCCGTAGCATTTAATAAGTTCAACAAAGTTTCTAACCTCCATGATTTGGTTGAGTAACATTTTAGGTATACAATGATACCTGCTTCATTGTACCTGGGGTTTGCTGCTGCAATAATATGGGTTGGGCAGGCAAGAAATTGATTTAGTTTTGGGATTCATCTATCTGGATTTCTAATTTAGGTTATAGTAGTAATATAGTGTTGTTTATACTTCGTCAGGGGACATATCTTACATCCACAGCACAGAGTCTTGCAAATGACCATAACCTTCATGTTGGTACTGTGATTGGTAAATTCAATGGAGAATTTTGGGGGGTTTGTGCAAGTCACCAGGTGGGTTGATGAATACCAGTTATATGTGCTTTTATCTTAGAGTCCACTTAGCAAGGGCTATTTTCCTAATATTCTGAAAGGTAAAGCATTTAGTAAGATCTATATCCAGCCAAATATATTACTCTTGAGTGGGATTTCAGGATATTGCAAGCATGTTTGGTTTGGTAATTCCAGTCAAATATGAGAGCCCAAAGCTACTTAGTCTGCTGATAAGCAGAAGAAGCCACCTTTGCCCACCAAAGCGGCAAAGTTTCTACTTTCTAGTCATGTGTGTGAAGTGACTTTAGATGAATGTATGTTGCAGGTCGTTGGAAATCTCATTACTCTTGCTTTGTTGAGAACGGAAACGGTATGTTTGCATGTTGTAATAACTTCTTTTCTTCATTTTTGTTTGTCATTAGTTTGGTTATAATTTTTCCACAGGGAGGAAGAGACACCCGGGGCACAACTGTACTTTTCATTGTATTTCTTTGTAGTATGACACTAGGTACTGCTCTCATGTGCTTTCTGAGTACGAGAAGCACAAAAGTGGAGGCATCCCTTGACGATTCATCTGGCAGTTTTTTCAAGTCAATTGCCTCTTCATCTAAGTCCCTAGTTAACTTAATGCTTGACGTTAAAATGGTGCTGCTCATCCCCCTCATCGCATATTCAGGCTTACAACAAGCTTTTGTATGGTACACACATTTATCCAGTTCTTTATTTAAGCAATAAATATGACATATTACTCCACGTGTCCCAAAATTAGATTTCTATTACAGAAAATTAAGCTATTTTGCAATAGTTTGCCCAAAAAAAGGTCCTATTTTTGGGACAAGGGTATGGGTCACACAGATTAAGAAAAGTAGATTTGTGTGCTTGATACTAAAATTTAAAAGTATGAAATGTATGCATGGATGTGAGTCTCACAAATGTTACCAAATATGGCATGTGACAAAAGTCACAAAACCAGTGGGATGAACAAAAAAGTTAAAAGGGGAGAAAAGAGTGAGACAAAGGGAATATGATAAATTTCGTTAAACCAACGTATAAATTTTAAAAATATAAGTAGATTTCACGATTATTAACCGGTGTACATTGCCAAAAATTAAAATGTTATGCCTTGACCAAACAAGACATTTTTAAATTAAGAGGGACTCTTTCATGCTGCCGGTTTATGAACTTTTCTATTTCTGTCTCATGCTCTGTATGTTTCAGGGCTGAATTTACCAAGTATATCGTACAGCCTAAAATGGGAGAGAGTGGAGTTGGTGGGGCAATGGCCATTTATGGACTATTTGATGCAATTGTAAGTTATGCTCATATGGCGTCGTCGTAACTATGTTGCCACTTCAAATCAAATGGGATTAAACTATGTAAGAAGTACGAACTTTGTCTCAGTGTTCGGCAGCTGTTGGACGTCTCACCTTTGGTCTTAAATCAATCACTGTAATAGTTTGTGGTGGAGGTATAATACAAGCTTTTGTGTTGCTTTGGATTCTGCTGAATCACAGGTTGGTGGAAATTGGCTTTTAGTTTTTACTATCTTCTGTTCTTGGTGACATCACATCTGATGTGGTGGTTTATTTATAATCTTGTTTTCTCCAATTGTAGTGTGGATTATGGAGTAGTTGGTGTTCTTATAATAGCTGCTATGTGGGGCATCGGAGATGGAGTACTCAATACCCAATTGAGTGCTTTTCTTGGGATTCTCTACAATGATAATTTGGTAATACTTCTTAGATGAGTGGTTTTTAGGCTTTTTTTGGTATAAGTAGGATAAGTAGCTTCTAACTTATTGGGTTGGAACGGTTACCAAATACCAAAGCTTTGCCAAGTGGTTCTTTTAGCTCCAATGGCAATGGAAGTAATGAATGGGATCTTAATGCATAAATATTTACACGGAGTAATATTTACTGTGTCAAAAGTTAAAGTCAAATTAACCGAATAGTAATAAGTGGTTTCTTAATGAATGATTTTATTTCAAGAAATGGTATATAACATTGCATATCCTCACATGTAAGCGAATTCCAATTTCATGTTGACTATCAAACTGTGGTTCAAAGATGTAACAGGATTTTGAATTGTTATCAACTTTTAATAACAGGAAGGAGCATTTGCTCATCTCAAGCTTTGGCAGAGCTTTTCAGTTGCAGTCGTCTTCTTCTTGAACCCACTCATCTCGTTGCATGCAATGCTGGTGATCATGCTTGCCTCACTCTGCATCTCTATTTCTGCATTTCTTATTCTCATGCTGAGGGTAGAACATGCATTTTCAATTTCTCGTCCTTCATAGATGTCAAGAGCCGTATATTTTCTACCGGTATGTTCATTTTCATTATGCATTTTTCATTTTCTTTTGGTATACTTGTGAATTCCCATGGCATGTTATACACTATGTTATGAATGTAGGATCCAACAACTATAGCATACCCGGTATAGTCTCAACTTCATTGGGGTCTTGGGTACGCAAGTTTACCTTGTAAAAATTAGAGAGGCCGTTTCTATTAGACCTTAACACATTGCTGCACTTACTGCCCAAAACTTGAAAGAAAGTAAGGAGCAAGGAAAATTTAATGTGCCATTTTGATCTAGTCCATTATTTACCCGAAGATAAACAAAAGTGAGTCTTGTAGCTTCTAATGCTATGAATGTAGGATAACATAATAATATCTTACAAAGTAAAACACAAATATACTCTTAAAATGACATGAACTACATAGTGTGTGGCGAGGTGGTTTGGGCACGTCAAGAGTAGGAGAAGAGCTCTGAACAAAGGTGATTAGATAGGACTTACGACTTCAGTACCATATCGAGGATATTGACTTTAAATAGGACCTTTTGGAGAGCTAGGATTAGAGTAGTTGGGTCGACCTTTGGATCTTAGTTTGTAGTTTTTGCTTTTGCATGTGTTTTTTGCCTTGTTGGCTAAGTTTGTAGCCTGTGCATATGTGCTTCTTGTGCTTTGGCTCTAGTGTTATGTTTACTTTATTTGTGCCTTGTGTCTAGTTCAACAAAGGAGGCTTAGAGTTCAATGAGAAAAGAGATGAGAAATATGAATTGGAGTAAATAAAAAATGAAATAATCGCTTTTCTTTCCATTTCCATTTGTGATCTTCAAATACAGAGTACCAAATAAACATTGACTTTTCTCAATCATCATATACATATACACATATACAGCCCGGGCTCATTCTGTTTTGTATGTACAAAAGAAAAAATTACCGCAGCCAAGGATGCGTTTGTTAAGTTGGCATTTTACCCAAGATGACGACTTTTTAAACCAAGAAACACAGTTTGAGCAGCGTCTCGATGGACAAAATGCCGCAAAACAAACAAGGCGTAAATTAGGCCGATAACTTGTGAAATGCTGCCGAATCATGTACGCATTGTTGATGTACACCACTCATCATGAACCCCCAACCACCATGAATTGGCCAATACTCTGATCTGCTAGTTCCTTCAATCTGAGGAGCTCTGGCAAGACTTGCTTTCCTAAATCCGGCCGGTCCTTGCGCCGCAGCTGGGAACACTGCATGCCAATCTTGGCCATGGTCAAGGCCTCCTCGACCGGCCAGTTTGTAACCACCGGATCCAAAACATCTTCAAATTTCCCCTTCTCCACGGCATCCGACACCCGATGCGCTATCCCCATCGCCGGCTTGGCTGTCAGCAGCTGCAGAAGCACAATCCCGAAGGAATAAACGTCCGACTTCACCCCGAGCATCCCTGTCTGCTGGTACTCCGGGTCAATGTAACAGAACGTCCCGGCCGCTGACGTCATCCTCAACTGTGTGACGTCGTCCGCCGCCGCTGCCGGGACCAGCCGGGCCAGCCCCACGTCTCCGATCTTGCTCACGTAGTACTCGTCAAGGAGAATGTTCGCCGGCTTGAGGTCGCGGTGCACCACCGGCTCCGGCTTGGTCTGGTGGAGGAACATCAGGCCGGTGGCGACCTCCGCCGCGATCCGGAACCTCACTTGCCATGACAGTGCGGGTTTGTCTCCCCTTTTCATGAGCCGTTCCTCTAAGCTTCCATTAGACATGTAGTCGTAGACCAGGCAGCCGTACTCCGGACAAGCACCCAGCAGCATCACCATGTTTGGATGGCGCAGGCAGCTTAGCACCTCAATCTGTTTCAACAACACAAACAATGCGTACATATATGCAAATTTCAGGCACGATAACGATACTTTAACCCTCCCCCTCCCCTAAGGACGACACCACAGTTGACACCACCAGATACAATCTCGCCTTTGGTCCGAAAAATCATTCATTGTCTGTGAGACTGGCGGTGTCACCCTTGGTGTCATCTATTGGTCATGCTGACAACTTGTTATACCTCCTTGAGGAACTGTGACCTTCCTTGTGCAGCGTCTGGACGCAACACCTTAACAGCAACTGGAGTGTGATCAAGCAAGCATTTGAAGACAGGGCCATACCCTCCTTCTCCAATCTTTCTGGACTCCGAGAAGTGTTCTGTAGCTTCATCGATTTCGTCAATAGTGTACCTTGGAGTCGATATATATATTCAAATACACAATACACACAATAAATATATGGTATACTATTTTGTAGTTTTAGGTGACACGGCTCTCATACTAACCAACCTTCTGTATCTCAATCCAATCCGAAAACTCTCATTCTCCTCTTCGGTTCTTGTTTCATCTTCACTTCTCCTTTTCATTGAGTCTGTTCTGCTCTCTGTGCTTGTCCATGACTTGGCCTTTCCATGCGACATGTCGTCTGAGATCTCATCTTCTTCCAATTTTTTCTCCTCTTCGATTCGCCATAGTTGTAGCTCGGTTGCCTAATATAACATGTCATCAACATTACCAAACAGCCCTAATCCATATAACTAGCTACTTGATCTTAACTATTTGTTACCTTCTGCTTTGCAGTCAAGGCCTCCTTGCAAGCGGTGCTATACAAGTCCATCATCTTCTGCAGTTCTTGTTTTAGCCTTCTCATTTCGGCGTCATCCTGTTTGTTTCCGATTCAGAATCACAAGGATAAGCTATTATAATCATTATAACTAACTTACTGAAGTGTGTTTTTAAGGAAAATGCTACTTTGACACCAGAGATGAATGACACTAGGCATATAACACCAACTGTGTGTGACACAATGGTGTCACTGTAACATGACCCTTTAAAAAGAAAAAATTGCCTTACGTTGTCAAGGCAGGTAGTAGATGAAATGTCGGTGAAAGAACTTGTGTCGCTGGCCTTGGATCCGAAGCGGTCGGACGATCCATAGCTGCTCTCTGAGCTAGTGGATAACCGAGACGTGCGCCCGGACTCCATTCCATCACAAAACATGGGACTCCGGTCGGTGCTAGGTCGACCGGAACTCACAAATGAAATGTCCGTGTCTGACTCTGAAAGGTCCCCTCTCCCATTGAAGCCTCTCCCTTTGTCGAGCGGCGACCTGTGTATATAATTCAAACCTCAATGGACTACTCCCTCCTATTGCCAACTGGTTTTTTGAGTGAAACTTCATTTTGAATTTTTTACCTGAATGATGGTTCCATTTCATTGTTATACGTGAAAGAGATGCGTTGGGACTTATCAAATGCTCCAAGCTTATCTGCACCCACGGAAACCGACCGTTTGAACCGATTTATACAATAAGTCTGAACTCTGAAGCTCACTCACAGTGTGTGTAATGTACCATTGAAAGTGGGAGTGTGCCTGTGACGCGTCTTGGGAGAAAAGCTCTTAGGTTTGCAGACATTGGCAGCTTTGATTCTGTTGTTGGTGTTGGTGTGCTGCAGTTGCTCGTTTTTCTGATGGATTTGGCTGTAGAGGGGAGAAATGAAGGGGGCTGGTCGAGAAGCATTTCGAACGGTCGAGATTTTGGATTTGGAAATGACATAAACCGTACAGAAATCGGGTGCCCGTTTTGTTACCGTTGTTGGAACGTCCACAACCTTAAGCCTCCTGTGTATGTGAACCACAAACATCATCCACCAATTGAGCCGTTTAACTCGTCAGTTCGGGTCGAGTTCGGTTCTCTCAGGTTCAGGTCATTCCAGAATCCCAATTAGCTTTTTTAGATTAAAACTAAATAATTACTATAGAGAGACTATACAACTATGAAGAATATAAAAATGTCGAAGACTAAAACGAGAATAAAATGTTACTAAATTTTACACCCGTTTTGGGTGTCATAATATGACTCCGGGTGCTAGGATGCTCTGTTGGACCCCGAAGTAGTTCCTACTTCCTAATCCAAGGGCTAGAGTTAGGGGAGATAGGAACCACTTCGAGTTCAACGGATCATCCAGGGCCCTCAAATGGCCGGTGTCATAAGAAAATAACATTAAATAAGTATGATAATATGGTTGTCGCTTTAATAGTTCATTTTAAATTGCATCATTTTGGCTCGGGTAAAAAATTACTTCAACGGGATAGGGTTCAAGTCACAAAAAACTTGTTCAAAACCCAACATTTTTGGATCCGGGCAAAATTTGGCAGGTCTTCCAATCATGCATTAGATGTATTAATCAAGTGATTAAGTTTTTGAAGTATATATAAAGATTGGACTGAACTTGAGAAATCCATGCTTTGAAGCACCAAGAACCAAGTTCTCAATTGCAGCACTAGACACATATTCATTCAAAGCTTTTGCTATGTCTGTGTCTTCCAGCACCACATCCAATGCATGTATCTGCACAAACACACATTATTCTAAAACTCTGGAATGTTTTAATAATAATAATAATAATAATACAACAACAACAACAACAACCCAGTTAAATCCCACAAGAGGAGGGTCTGGGGAGGGTGTGTGTACGCAGACCTTGCCCCTACTCGAAAGTAGAGAGGTTGTTTCCAAAGAGACCCCCGGCTCAACATCGAAAGTTGCAGTGTTTGACTAACTGCTACTTCATTAATTAAAGAAGCGCAGATAGTTTAGAGATCCATTTTGATTTATTCCATCACACCCCAAAGCCAAAAATGGTGAAATTTTGACTCCATCAGAGATGATGGAAAAATAATAATAATAATAATAATAATAATAATAATCAAATTCAAAAAAGAATGTGATGATCTAAAAACTTTACGTCTTTTCGTGTGCAGAAGACGTGGAATATGGAAAACAAATCCTTTGTGTGTTTCTCAAGCTGCTCGCGGTAGGATGTGGCGTCATGAATAGCCGCACCAGCTCCAACTGCCCGTGCAGATGAATATGGCAATGGTAAAAACATTTAGCTGTTAAATTAACTATATATGTGATACTCCATTCCCTCCAAATGTATTTGTCTGGTTTGATCTTTCTCGGTCAAACTGGACAAATTTTGATCTTTGAACTCCCATTGCACGTGGATACAATGAAATGTTTTGTCAGAAGCTTTTTTGCAAGATAATTCATATAAAATCATTATTATTTTTTCATATGCATTGAAATTCATGCCAATACTCCGAGAAATATGAGATTTTACATGTACACAACAATATTGCATAATTATAACCAACGTGCTCACAAACTTAAGTCACAATAGTACTCCAAGATTGCATATTGGCTACAAATATGCCTACGAAATCGGGAGATCCATGAAAACTAAAAATTCTCTTGGAGAATTATTGTAAATTTATTGAGTTCTTGCCCTTCTTGGGAGCGCTTGAAACAATTTCACATTCGTGGAGAACGTGTAAAATTTCAAATTTCTGAGAGTATTGGCATGAATTTTTCCTTTAATTGAAGATCAAAATTTGATTGAAAAAAGTCAAATTAGTCAAACACACCGGGACAAAGATAGTATTCATTACAAAACACATAAGAGGAGGCGGGCCATACACAACGTCTTGTGGACGACGTGGATGAGGACGAGCGTTTGGCCCTTTGAGATCAAATTTTCGGTCGTCCATCTGAGTGCAGATTGGCTTCCTTTGTCCTTGTCGATGGCGATTGCCACCAGCCCATTCGTCGTGGAGGCGGCTGCCCCTCTTCCTCTGGGATTCGAAGGCCACATTTAATTTATTTTTTTTTAAAGATCCGATGACGAAAGTCACTTCGTCATATTAATGTTTGTTTCCTCTCGCGCCGGCATGGGTTTTCCTCTGGTTTCTTGAATGAATGAATGAAATGTTTTTGGGGTGTTTGTTTGGTTCAAACGTGAGAATCGTCGAATTGTGTGCTCTCTTTATGGTGAATAGAGTTTGGATGGAGACGAGAATGGATGATATGTTTTCGATCTCTTATTGCTTCCTGTTTTTTCGGATGGCTGCCATTTTTAAAGCCTCATATATGGAGGATTTCATTGTACTCTTGGCATAGTTAAGTTCAAATTTGTTTTTTATAGAGTAAGAAAAAAAAGTGAAATTGCACCATGAAATTGACGCATAGATGAAAAATAATAATATGAATTACGCTTTTTTTATTAAAAAAATGTTAAAAATATCTCACATCAGAAATTTGAAAAGAAAATGATAGGTATATAAGTTTTTGAACTTAACTAATTAATCGATTCATTTCAATCTTTTTAATATATTTCAACTTAAATGTCTTATGCCCTAAATTTAGACATTGTTATCTCTTCTTAAATTCTACAACAATAACCAGTAAAATCTCATAAAAGTTGGGTCTGGAGAAGGTGTATGTATGCAAATTTTACCCCTACTTGAGAGTAGAGATCCTGTTTCAAGAGACATCCAGTTCAAGCCGCACAAAGTAAATAACACGGCAACAAGTTCACAAAAGCAAATAATGGATGATATAAGCGTAAAAAGATAGAAAAACAAAACATAAAGATGAACAAGAGAAGAAAAATACCACCCTAGTCCAAACGCTTTAGCTATCCTAGCCCAAATCTCTAGACGTGTTTATCTAAGGTCATATATTAGTAAGTGCCAAAAGTCTTAAGACCTGTCTAATAACTCTTCCAAAACTTTTAGAGTATATCTTTTCACCCACCTCCACCTACTATCATAAGCTTCTCAGATCTTGACATGCGAGTCTCAACACTACGCTGCTTCACATGACCAAACATCTCATCTTAAATTCTACTCCCTCTGTCCCATTTTAAATTGCATGTTTGCCTTTTTTCTCCGTCCCAAAATAAGTTGCCTGTTAGTTGTTTTCGTAAACTTTTAAAAATAAAATATCTAAACTACCCCTAAAATAAGTCACTCTTCTTCATCGTATCTTCTCATTCATCATCACCTCTTCTAAAAAGTAATGACAATTTTGGAAAATCAGCTCTACTTTTTATTTTCCTTAAATATGCCCAAAAGTCAAAATAGGCAATTTAAATTGGGACGGAGGGAGTACTAAATAGAAACCTTTTGGGAGGCCTATAGATGAAAAATGTGGGGAATTATATCGTAGAGCTCCTAAGTACTAAACTAATCAACTTAGGGGCTGTTTGGCAACTTCTGAATCGGTAAGTGCTGAACCAGTAAGAGGTCTGAACCATTAAGTGCTGAACCAGTAAGAGGTCTGAACCATTAAGAGCTAGTATATTGCTTAACTATTCAGAGGCAAATGTCTGATCAATTCAGATAAGAGGTCTTAACCATTCAGACTCTGTATAATACTTAATCATTCAGAGGTAAATCTCTTAACCATTCAGACATCTGAACCATTAAGAGGCTGAAACAAACAGTCTGAACCATTAAGTGCTGAACCATTCAGACATCTGAACCATTAAGAGGCTGAAACAAACAGCCCCTTAGTTTTTAAGATATTTTCTTAATGTGATATATTTCGATTCTATTGTGTGATTTTCAATAAACATCTGCAACAATTCGATCCATACATGCTCACCTTAGTATTTTGTGTTTGAGTAAATTTTATAAGAGAAAAAACCTAAATAGGAGTATAATATGAGGAAAAATTAAAATAAGACTTTCATTTTTTATTTTTAAAATAGTACTTATTATGTCAATAATATCAACAAATAATATCAAAAACATTGTTTCTCCAAAATATGATATATAATGACAATAATATCAACATATAATATTAAAAAATACAGTGAAATGTCAATATACACTATCACATTATCATAGTGTGTGTAATAATCTTATTTTGTAGATAAAAACATGTCACTCATATTTTGAAAATCTATATTGTACTCTTATTTTAAGTTATTTCTCTGTTCCAATTTAAATTTTATGTTACCCAATATTATTTATTTAGTCAATTTTTTTCTTTTTGTTACTCATTTGAAAAAAAATATAAACATGTCACTTCTTAGTTAATTAATCTTTTCATATAGCTTTTTAATATATACTCTGTAGTTTTTATTTTTAATCTGACAGCAATTTTTAAATAAATAAAATTGAAATAATTAATTTCAATCAATATTTGTTCTTCTGTGGTTATAAAGTCTACATGTAAAACTCAATTCTTTGATAATATCTATACATTAAAGTTCATAAAATACACATTAACTTTATGACCACGTAAAAATTAGGATTAATCCAACAACACACGATAAACATGTGGAATAAATTAAAGAAATATTTGCATTAAATATCACTAAAACTTAAGTCATTTATTTAAATAACACTTAAATTATTTTATTCTCTGAATAATATTCCATAATGTCCATAATATCCAATGATGATCAATATTTACTTGAATAATGATTAATGAATAATAACTAAAAGTGCTAGATTGAGAAAAAAACAGATGTGATGTATTAGGGAAAGTTATTATGTTTTAGTGTTATTTACATAAATTTCTCAAAATTAAATGAAAAAACACAGAGGTACTCCAAGCTAGTATACTCCAAGTGTACATCATGAACTCACAAAAACACACTAACACTCATTGTTTATGTGAAATATAGGCAGTGGATATCTCTCACAAAATTGTGTACCCATAGAGCATACCAACTTGGGTACCTTGCTAACCCCAAAATTAATCGAGAAGGAGGTGGCAAGAATTTCACCATTCAAAGACTCACCAAAGACTCAAAGAGAGTGGTGGTGAGTAGTGAGAGAGTAGATAGAGAGAGAGAGAGAGAGGATTGGCAATTCATTCACTCCCTCCAACAACGAACCACCTAAACACCACTTCTTTTCCTTTCCTTATAATCCTACTATTTCCTTTCCTCTGATCTCACCATTTTTAACACTCGCCGGAGATGAAAGACTGTACGAAGCACCCGGTGGCGGAGGCCAACGAAGAGAGCCCCTTTGGGTCCTTGAGCCCCGACGAGTTCTACTCGCGCCACTCGGTGAGTCACGGCACCGAGTTCATCACCAATACCCGCGGTCTCAAGCTATTCACCCAGTGGTGGACCCCTCTCCCTCCCGCGAAGGTAATCGGCGTCGTCTTTGCCGTCCACGGATTCACCGGCGAATCCAGCTGGATGCTCCAGCTCACCGCCGTCCACATCGCCAAGCAAGGGTTTGCAGTCTGCGCCATCGACCACCAGGGCCACGGCTACTCCGACGGCCTCGTCGCTCACATACCGGACGTCAATCCCGTCGTCGACGACTGTATATCCTTCTTCGACTCCTTCCGCGACCGCCACGTGCCGCCGGATCTGCCGTCGTTCCTCTACGCCGAATCCCTTGGCGGCGCGATTGCTCTACTCATAACCCTCCGCCGCGGCGATTCCGCCCCCAAACGGCCCTTTGACGGCGTCGTTTTGAACGGGGCGATGTGCGGCATCAGCGATAAGTTCAAGCCCCCGTGGCCGTTGGAGCATTTTCTGGACATCGCCGCCTTCCTCATCCCGACGTGGCGCGTTGTTCCGACGCGCGGCTCCATCCCCGCCGTTTCGTTTAAGGTCAGACTATTTTTTCCTCCTTACAATTATAAATCCGTCTAAATTTCACCGGTATAAGAGTATTGTATTGTCTCCTCAAAAAGCTCACGTCTCCAATTTCAGGAGGAATGGAAGAGGAAGCTGGCGATTGCAAGCCCTAGAAGGACAGTGGCGAGGCCTCGAGCAGCGACGGCGCGTGAGTTGCTGAGAGTGTGCCGGGATTTGCAATCGAGGTTCGAGGAAGTGGATGTCCCGTTCCTGATCATCCACGGAGCGGAAGACGTAGTCTGCGACCCGGCGTGCGTGGAGGAGCTGCACAGACGCGCCGCCAGCAAGGACAAGACTCTGAAAATATATCCCGGCATGTGGCACCAGCTGGTGGGCGAGCGGGAGGAGGACGTGGAGCGCGTTTTCGGAGACGTTGTGGAGTGGCTGACGACAAGAGCCAATCGCGCTACCAGTTGAAACGCCGCCGTGTGCGGCGGATGAAGGTGGCCGATTAATTAATTCACGGTAAATTGGATTTGGGAGTGAGCAGTTCCGTAGTTGTTGGGCAGCAATAACTAAACGGTTAGGAGTTGGGTGAGTGTAGGGAGCATTCCCTTATTTTTATGTACTACAATGCGCCAGATCAATAAATACATATAGGACCATGCTACACTTACGCCAACAAATATACCTCATTTGTACACCACATGTTTGCACAAACATTTCGATGGTTTACACCGACACAAGTGTTGGTGCGTTAATAAAAATTTACACAGACACAAATGTTGGTGCGTTTAACAAAAATTAGTTTTACACCAACACAAAATGTTGGTGCAAAACTGCGGGGTACAAATTGGGGTACAAATCTTGGGGTACACATAGCATAATCCATACATATACGGAGTAACATACATTATGAACTTGACTATAGTATTTTTTGGGATTTGCTAGGGTACTTTAGATGTAGATTTAATTCCTAATCAGTGAGGGAAATACAAAATCATTCTTATTCATTGCCTGTCGAAGTAAATCAGAGGTTAACGGTACAACCTATATCGTTAAGCGAAAAAAAATTCATTACGGGTGGTTGACCATCCATCTTCTCCCATCCAAACCCCATTCAAGCCCCCTTTTTACACATTCAAAGCAGGCTAGGAGAACAAAAGAGAGAACAGCGCCCCAGCCGTCCCTCGCTAATTGCCCGCCGTCCGTCGTTATTCGTCAGTTAACGGTACTCTTTCTATCATTTTTTAAAATTTATTTCGAAAATATCTAATTTAAACTTATATTACCTAATTATTAGCTAATTAGATTAGATCTATGTTGAGAATTTAGAAAATTGAAATGTTTATGAGATACCTGAAAACATATGTCGAAGTAACTAACAATTTTATTGTGATATATTTGTAGATTTTTCGTAGTGCATTACATATTTTTCATTTGTCGTATTCATAGACTAAAAATTTTAATTTTATAGAATAATGAATTTTCAAAGAACGAATGTCCATCTGGACCAATGGTTCGCGATGTCCTAGTCTTGGCACCCGGCAAACATCGTTGTGATAGGGTGTGGCAAGACTGTGAGTTTGGAGACGTTTCGGTGAAATGTGTGAAATTTTTTGGTAGCTTAAGGGAAGGGTTTGGTGTGGAGCGTCATCCACGAGTTGTGGAGAATTTGCGTGATTATGGATTTTACAGGGTAGAAAGGATTGTTAAGTTACAAATCGATTAGACTTTGATTACGGCCTTACTCGAGAGATGGAGGCCGGAGACCCATGTCTTTCATCTTCCGTTCGGAGAGGTTGCGATAACATTATGGCATGTAGAGGTCCTACTTGGTCTCTCCGCAGATGGCACCCCTGTTGTTGGTTCGCGTGGCAACACGAAAGAGTATTGGGCGCACTTGTGTGCAGATATGATGGGGTTTAGGCCATCTTTAGAGGACTTGAGCAAGACGCAGATCACAATGAATGTGATTGTTGGTGATCATAGCGTGGAGGTCGACTTTTTGCAGCATGCTCGGGCCTTGATGTTGAAGATTATGGGTGGTGCTCTGTTTTCTAGCACGACGGGTAACAAGGTGAACTTGTGCCTTTTGGAGTTTCTCGCTAGCACGGCGCAAGATGTGCGGAGTCGCACTCACTGGAGTTCTTGTATTCATTTGGATGCTTTTGTACATTATGATATCTCACTTAACACAACTAAAATTCCTGCACCTAACCATCCACCTAACAATAAAGTATCTTACCTAACACCACTAAACATCCTACACAATTCAATCCACCTAACAAAAAGTCTCACCTAACACCACTAAAGATCTTACGTCATTCAATCCACCTAACAATAAAATATCTCATCTATATATTTGGTGTTTAACTCTCAGAATCTCACCACCAAACTTTACTCTCATATATCTGCTCATTTCTCTTTCTTACAAAAAAATGGCCTTTGATGGTAATTTTATATTGCTAGCCCATTAGAACGGTGAGATAATTATCAAGAACAATGAGGTGGAGTACTCATTGCATTCAAACAAAGCCTTTGTCTTTGATCTTGATGTGTCATTCGAGGAGGTCTTCAATGAACTCCTCGATGCTATTGGTGAAGATAATCTCAATTCAATCAAGAGAATTTGGGGAAAATATCCCAAATACAAGGATCGAGTATATGCCGCTTCACGCCCTTTCCCCATTTTCGAGGAGCGATAATGAAGGTGTTTTGTTCAAAAGGCAACTAAGCAATATGATGAATTGCAGGTGTACCTAGATGCACACTAAGTTGAAGTCCAGGCTCACGAGGAAGAAGAAATAGCTGCATCCTAGGAAGAGGAAATGGAAGAAGAGCAAAACCACCACCAAGTTCACCACCAGCACCAAGAACAACAAAGTTGGGGAACACATCAATTTTCATGTGATGAGGCGGGACCTTCTAACACGACACAACACATGGATGATGAAGATGACTCTGATGATCCTACGTTCATTGGTAATTTAGATCATGACAGTTCTTCAGATGAGTCTTAAGTATCTGGATGGGTCTCTATGTACACACCGGACGTGTACACAGAGGAGCCTATTAACATTGTTAATTCTGTCGATGTTGAACAGGCAATTCCAAATATTCCGGTTAATAGACACGTTGAAGAAGTCTCACTACAACCAACGTTCCGCATCCCTGAAATTCAGATTGGATATCTCTATGGTAATTTCAAAAGCCTTCAGTTTGCGGTGGCACTACGCAATATTGCGGAGCATAGACATTTCCAGACTTTGTCAAAGCATCATAATTATTGGCGGGCGAAGTGCTCGTATCCGGAAAAGTGCCCTTGGCTTGTCCTGGCTGTAGATGATGCTTCTGTTTGGACTGTTAAAAAATATAAAAGTCAACATTTATGTAGACCTGACTTTTCTAAGGAGAAGGACGATAAGCTTATTATAAGCAAGCTCATTTCAAAAATTATATTCTCAAAAATTGCGGCTGATGGTGATTACAAGGTGAGGTACATCATTAAAGATATTTACGACTTATTTCAAGTTTGTGTAACGTATAAGAAATGTTGGTTGGCTAAGTCGAGTGCCATTCAACGACTGTACGGATCCTGGTAGGATTCGTATAACAAGCTTTTGCCTCTACTAGCAGCGTTGATTGAAAGCAATTTTGGATCAGTGGCCGAGATACAAATGCAGTCAACAATAACGTCCAAAACATTTCAGTTCATGTACGTTTTCTGGTCTTCCAAAGCGTCTATTGATGGGTTCAAGTATTGTTTTCCCGTGATCTCTTTTGATGGCACCTACTTGTATTAAAAATATGAGGGAGTATTGTTGCTAGCAGTAACAATGAAAGCAAATCACGAGATTTAACTCTTAGCTTATTCAGAAGACGGGGATAGTTGGAGGTGGTTCATGATGCATTTAATGCGCTATGTGGTACCTATTGATAAGTCGGTGTGCATCATTTTTGAAAGGCACGAGGGCATTGATGTAGCTTTCAATACAATTCCCTCAGTTAATGGAACAGCGTGTCACCAAGAGATATTGCCTGCGCCACTTGAGAAGTAATTTCCAGTAGAAGTTCAATAGAAAAAAGCTGAAGGGCTTGATGTATCATGCAGCCAGTACCCCATATGTGCATGAATTCAATCGAACAATGCAACAAATTATGTCAAAGCGGGTGGAGGCATATGACTGGTTGTTGGCTTTACCATTAGAGAAGTGGGCACTCTGTTCCGATGGTGGGCTCGATATGGATTCCTGACAACTAATCTTTCCAAAAGCTACAATTACGTTCTAAAGGGATGTCGTTCTCTTCCGGTATACGCTATTATGAAGACAACGTATGAGTGATTAGTAAAATTACTTGCAGAAAAGTGTACAGAGGAATTTACATTGTTATAAGCGGGATTTAAGTTCCCATAATATATTTGTAATGAGGTCACACGCATGGAAGACCATCGTTTACATTTCCATGTTATCCCCCACCATCCGCAACAAGGGATTTATCAGGTCGTTGTTGAGGGCAACGCTGGAGCTACCGGTAAATTAGATGAGATTGTCGTGCAACTGGGCCTAATTATAAATTTCTATGTGGGATATATAATTTGTCGTGCAATAGAGATCAAGGGAAAACAGTACTTGAACCCATAAATAGACGCTTTGTAAGACCAAACAACGTACATGAACTAAAATGTTTTGGGCGATGTTGTTGGCCGCATTTGTATCTCGGCCACTAACCCAAAATTGCTTTGAATCAACGCTGCTAGTAGAGGCAACAACTTGTTATACGAATCCTACCAGGATCCGTACAGTCGTTGAATGGCACTCGACTTAGCCAACCAACATTTCTTATACGTTACACAAACTTCAAATAAGTCGTAAATATCTTTAATGATGTACCTCACCTTGTAATCACCATCAGCCGCAATTTTTGAGAATATAATTTCTGAAATGAGCTTGCTTATAATAAGCTTATCGTCCTTCTCCTTAGAAAAGTCAGGTCTACATAAATGTTGACTTTTATATTTTTTAATAGTCCAAACAAAAGCATCCTCTACACCTAGGACGAGCCATGGGCACTGTTCCGGATACGAGCACTTCATTCGCTAATAATTACGACGCTTTGACATAGTCTGGAAATGTCTATGCTCCGCAATATTGCATAGTGCCACCGCAAATTGAAGGCTTTTGAAATTACCATAGCGATATCCAATTTGAATTTCAGGGATACGGAACGTTGGTTGTAGTGAGACTTCTTCAACGTGCCTATGAACCGGAATATTTGGAATTGCATATTTAACATCGATAGAATTAACAATGTTGATAGGCTCCTCTGTGTACACGTCCGGTGTGTACATAGAGACCCATCCAGATACTTAAGACTCATCAGAAGAACTCTCATGATCTAAATTATCAACGTACATAGGATCATTAGAGTCATCTTCATCATCCATGTGTTGTGCCATGTTGACATGAAAATTGATGTGTTCCCCAACTTTGTTGTTCTTAGTGGTGGTGGTTTTGCTCTTCCTCCATTTCCTCCTCCTAGGATGCGGCTATTTCTTCTTCCTCGCGAGCCTGGACTTCAACTTGGTGTGCATCTAGGTACACCTCAAGTTCATCATATTGCTTAGTTGCCTTTTGAACAAAACACCTCCATGTTCGCTCCTCGGAAATGGGGAAAGGGCATGAAGCGGCATATACTCGATCCTTGTATTTGGGATATTTTCCCCAAATTCTCTTGATTGAATTGAGATTATCTCCACCAATAGCATCGAGGAGTTCATCGAAGACCTCCTCGAATGACACATTAAGATCAAAGACAAAGGCTTTGTTTGAATGCAATGAGTACTTCACCTCATTGTTCTTAATATTTATCTCACTGTTCCAATGGGCTAGCAATATAAAACTACCATCAGAGGCCATTTTTTTGTAAGAAAGAGAAAACAGCAGATATGTGAGAGTAAAGTTTGGTGGTGAGATTCTGAGAGTTAATCACCAAATATATAGATGAGATATTTTATTGTTAGGTGGATTGAATGGCGTAGGATCTTTAGTGGTGTTAGGTGAGATTTTTTATTAGGTGGATTGAATTGTGTAGGATATTTAGTAGTGTTAGGTGAATGGTTAGGTGCAGGACTTGTGTTAGGTTAGATATTTTATTTTTAGGTGGAATGTTAGGTGCAGGATTTTTAGTTGTGTTAGGTAAGATATCATGAAGTACAAAAGCATCGAAATGAATACAGGAACTCCAGCGAGCGCAACTTCGCACATCTTGGGCCGTACCAGCGAGCAACTCCAAAAGGCAAAAGTTCACCTTGTTACCCGTCGTGCTAGAGAACCGAGCACCACCCATAATCTTCAACATCAAGCCCGAGCATACTGCAAAAAGTCGACCTTCGTGCTATGATCACCAACAGGAATGAGTACGATTGCATTCATTCTGATCTGCGTCTTGCTCAAGTCTTCTAAAGATGGCCTAAACCCCATCATTTCTGCACACAGTTGGGCCCAATACTCTTTCGTGTTGCCACGCGAACCAACAACAGGGGTGCCATCTACGGGGAGACTAAGTAGGACCTCTACATCTTGTAATGTGATCTCAACCTCTCCGAACGGAAGATGAAAGACATGGGTCTTCATCTCTCGACTAAGGCGGTAATCAAAGCCCAATCGATTTGTAACTTAGCAATCCTTTCTACCCCGTAAAATCCATAATCATGCAAATTCTTCACAACTCATGGATGACGCTCCACACCAAACTCTTCCCTCAAGCTACCAAAATATCTAGCACATTTCACCGGTACGTCCCCAAACTCACAGTCTTGCCACACCCTATCATAACGATGTCTGCCGGGTGCCAAGACTAGTACATCGCGGAAAATTGGTCCCAAATGAACGTTTGTTCTTTGAAAATTCATTATTCTACAAAATTAAAATTTTTAGTCTATGAAAATGACAAATAAAAAACATGTAATGCACTACGAAAAATCTACAAATATATCACAAAAAAGTTGTTAGTTACTTCAACATATATTTTCAGAGATCTCATAAACATTTCAATTTTCTAAATTATCAACATAGATCTAATCTAATTAGCTAATAATTAGTTAATATAAGTTTAAAATAGATATTTTCAAAATAAATTAAAAAACGGTAGAAAGGGTACCGTTAACCGACAAACGGCGACGGACGGCTGAGGGTTGGCGACGGACAGCTGGGGCGCTGTTCTCTCTTCGATGCTCCTGACCTGCTTTGAGTGTGTAAAAATGGATGGGGGAAGATGGATGGTCAACCACCCGTAATAAATTTTTTTTGGCTTAACGGTAGAAGTTGTATCGTTAACCTCTGATTTACTCTAACAGGCACTGAACGGGAATGCTTTTGTGTTTCCTTCACTTATCGGGAATTAAATCCTACCTTGAATACCTCTACGTTTTTCCATTATTTATATTGTTATGACTTATATTGATACAAAATACAAATATGATTGCAAAACTTTTGCTCTGACATTTTATGTCAACATAATCCATCAAATTTTGTACTTACAATAACACAAAATGCGAGTATAAATCTTTAAGTATATTTTGGGATACAGGTAAATTTATTCTTTTTCATTTGTCCAAATTTCTTTTACACTTTGCAATTTCCATGGGATCTTGTTTCTTTTTAAGAAGGCGATGGGAAAGAAGTGAAGGAACTATTACGAATAACAACCCGCTTCTCTTGACAACAAGAATGTGTGTCATATTATAAAAACAAGGCTTACAGTGCTCCGTTCAAAAATTTGATAGTTCCTACCCCATATCCCCTCTTAAACTCCTCCTGCTCTCCGCCCCCATCACCCTAGCAGCCTCTTGCCCCCCTCCCTCCCAACCCAATTGGTGTTTTGGGATGTGGGTAGGTGTGCTGCTGGGGTGGGAGGTAAGGAGGGTGGTTAGGGGGGTAGAAACCATCAATTTTTGAACAGAGCACCATAGGTCATTGTTGTCATAATATGACAACAATGGTTGTTGTCAAAAGAAACTGACCGTACGAATAATAAAAATAATGGGAAATAAATAATTGTTACTTCGTATTTTGATGTAATTTTCATTATTCAATAAAATGATATATTATCAAATTGTATCATCGTATTGGAACTAAAGTCTCTTTCCCAAATAAACATGACCACCTTTTTTCTATCGTGCGAACATCAGTTTTTTCATCGATTGTCATCCGCCAAAGATCATGATTTCACCGTCCTTTATCCCCGACCCCCTCTCTCTCCCTCTCAAAAAATTATGAGTGTGCCTAACAACTGTTGTCTCTTATCTCTCTCGCTCTCAAAAAAGATTAGGCGTGACCAAAAAATTAAAAAAGTGCATTTGTATGTGTTTCTTCTAGATATCGAGAGCATGGGAAACGATAGAGAAGCATAGAACGATTGAGAAAAGAAGAAAAAAAGAAATTTCTCGCCCTCGCTCCAATCATCAACACTCTCCATAGAAAAAATTAGATCCACTGTTTATTTTATTATTATCATCATCATCATCATCATCATCATCATCATCATCATCATCATCATCATCATCATCACTACTACTACTACTATTATTATTACGGAATCGAGTCGGCCCGACGTGCACACTTGAACATAAACCGTGAACCCGACCCTTAAGTTTGTGGAGTCCAATTTTTTACGGGGCAGCTCGACCCTTACCCAAAAATCAAGCACAAAATCATTTGCGGTCGGGCTTATGCAAGGTTGTAGCGGGACTCGAGCCCATGATCGGGTATATAATTCTTCCCCTCAATTATATCCATTTCATCCAAATCAAGGTTTTTATAAGGAAATCTAAATAAATGACTATTATATATAATCAATTTTATTACGCCCTCCAACTTCAATTAATGTGAATAGTTTTGACTTCACCTTATTTATGAAAAGTATTTACAACAACAACCCAGTTGAATCTCACTACAGTAGGGTCTGGAGAGGGTGTGTGTACGCAGACCTTACCCCTACTCGAAAGTAGGGAGGCTGTTTCCAAGAGACCCCCGGCTCAACCTGCACAAAAATATGGAAGGGAACACAGTATAACACGGGTAAAGAGTCAAGTACAAGCAACAAATACAAGCAGTAGCAAAGGATTCCAAACAAACACAACATACTACAAACAACCTCTACAACACCGAGCTCCTATCTAGCTACTCTAATCCTAGTTCTCCAAAGGTCCTATCTAAGGTCATATCCTCAGGGTGAGAATTCAGAAATCCTGCCTAATCACCTCCCTCCAATTCTTCTTAGGTCTACCCCTTCCCCTACTTTCCCCGAAAACCGTAATCCTCTCGCATCTCCGTACAGGGGCATCAGCATCCCGCCGTCTCACATGACCAAACCATCTCAACCTTGTTTCCCGCAACTTATCTTCCACTAGCGCCATGCCCACCTGACGTCGGATAACTTCGTTCGGAATCCTATCCAACCTTGTCTTCCCACACATCCATCGTAACATCCGCATCTCCGCCGCATGCAGACGACGCACATGAGTCTTCTTAACCGCCCAACACTCTGTCCCATATAACATAGCAGGTCTGACTACGGATCGATAGAACTTACCTTTCATCCTGGGCGAAATCTTCAGATCACACAAAACCCCTGAAGCTAACCGCCATTTGGCCCAAGCCACTCCAACACGATGTCCAACATCCCCATCTAACTCCCCATCAGCCTGGATTACCGAGCCAAGATATCGGAACCTGTCTACCTTAGGTACTAGGTGAGAGTCAATCCTAACTTCCACTTATATGAAAAGTATTTAAAAAATAAAAAATGAGTGGTTAAAATTTATTTAGAAAAAAAAAAGAAAAAATGTACGAAGTAAGAGACATATCTTTTTCTTTAATGAAAAGGTAAATAGTGAAATTTCTTAAAGACGGCCTAAAAAGAAAGTGTATCAATTAATTAAGGATGAGAAGAGTAGCTTTTTTATTATCAATGTCAATTGCAAGGTAAAATAATTTTGAAAAAGGACTAATATATAAAGATATAGCTTTTGTTTGACATTATCTTCAAATATAACTTCAACATTTTAAAAATCTATCATACAATATTTTTTAACATTTCCATTTTGTACACAACTTACATAGAAGGTGTATGTATATGTATGTATGTATGTATGCATGTATCTACACACACACATATAACGTTAATACTAATCACAAACACTACACTCAAACAAATCATTTTTATTATGCCCTTCAACTTCAATTAATCTAAATAGTTTTAACTTCACTTATGAAAAGCATTAAAAAAAATAAAAATGAGGGATTAAAATTTATTTAGAAAAAGGAGAAAAATTGAAAGCTACATATCTTTTCCTTCTATGAAGAGGAAAAGTGTAAAATTTCTTAAAGACAACCTAAAAAGAAAGTGTATCAATTAATTGGGGATGAGTTCACTAAAATTCTTTATTATCAATGTTACTTGCAAGGTATAATAATCTTGAAAAAAGGACTAATGTATAAAGATATCGGCAAGGTTCCGTTGACACTGGTATTCAGTGTCAACGGATGATACTCGCTTATTTGGAGCTTCTTTGGTGCTCATTTAACAAAAGTGATGGTTCCTGCCCCCTACCCCTCCTTAAACTGCCACCGCACCCCACCACAACCCGATCCCTGCATGCCCACCCTAGACCCCCTCTTACCCTCTCTAAATGTGCGTATATTATGCATTGCATAATAGCCATACATTTGGAAAGGAGTTAGAGAGGAGTTTAGGATTGGGGCCCAGGGATCAGGCTGGGGTGGGGTGCGATGGGGGTTTAGGGAGGGGGTTAGGGACTGGGACCATCAATTTTTCACTTGGAGTATTGAAGGAGCTCCAAATGAGCGAGTGTCATCCGTTGAGACTAGATGCTAGTGTCAACGCAACCTTGCCGTAAAAATATAGCCTATGTTTGGCATTATCTTCAAAATCTAGCTTCAACATTTTAAAAAACTATTCCAGTATTTTTTTTAACAGTTACATTTTGTACATACTTTACACTATTAAAAAATTGTATATATAAAATGTTTATACTAATCGTAAACACTTCTCTCAAACGAATCCATAACGGTAAATTAGTTATTACTTCTCCTTCGATCCTTTCCTCTTTAAAACCGAACACGAAATTGTTTCTTTATCTTTCCTTCGCCACTTCCATCCCTTCCTTCCCCTCACATTCCCTCTCATCAAGCAAAATAAATTCCACTCCACTAAATATATTCCAATTATAAAGTTTTTTTTAACAATTTCTTCAATTATAAAACTAGTAAAAAAGTTGTAAATAAATCAGCAATTTTTTGTGAAACAGTTAACACACAATAGCTAACAACTAGTGGCTAGAATTGGGCTAGAATTCATGGTCCCTTTTGGAAAATCTTTGAATTCATTGCATAACCAAGAAGGCAAGAAACAACTTATAATCTCAAAATCCTCAAACAAATGAACAGGAAGTATAAATTTGGGAAATACCTGTCTGTGAAATACCATGGCAAATGTGGGTCCAAGTTGTTTGTGACTCTAGCATTACTCTTACACAAGTGTGTACTTGTGTGCAGTTTTTAGTAAGAGGTGATTAGAGCGTGCAAAATTACAATTTCGACCCCCTCTCCTCAGAATTGGAAAACCTAATTACACTCTTTCAAAATGGACAAGAAGTGCAATCACACACAATTACACTAAATGTCAATAGCATAGGTGTTATTCCAAGGCATTCTAAACAAGAGAATGGCATGAAAGACAGAAAACACAAATCTATTCTATTCTATTATGCCTTTATTACAGAAGACCAAACAATACATGTATGCAACAAGATACAAGAAAAAAGATAGCAGCAATGCATTTCATTTCAATGACAACACAAAAAAGAAACCTTTGACACCTCAGACTATATAATGATAATGCGAAACGTGCAAGTTCGTTAGGCGGGTAAAATATTTGCACTTTTTGTAGAAGCACTAGAAACAGTTCGGTAATAATGAACGGGAGCAGGGAAGAAACCTGTATCCTTTATCTAGTTTGTGGTGGTGAATGGTGGACACTCAAAGAAGACAATCCGACGGTGTCTGGGCTTTTGAGCAGATCCAGTTGTTTCTTACCGCGACGAAGCAAGTACTCGATATACAGGAAATTCTTGCGATCAACTTCCACTGCATTGCGGCGGAACTCAGTTGACACCAGACACTTGATCTGCATTCTCTCCTCCTTTTGGGGTTTAGACCGTGCTGCTCTCAAGAACTGCCTGTATAGTGAAAGCACTTGTTTTTGCATTCCGGACAGCTGCTTTTGACCACTTGATCCGCCCCTCATAGTGATCGGTAGTATTTCTTTTCTTTTTCTTGCAACCCTGCTTCAAACTTTACAATATTAGATGAGATATCATCATAATAGTTAATGACCTGATGTATAAACCACCACCCTTTTTCTCACAAGCTAAGGTTGAATGAAATGGTTTGTCATCCTAACTCCTAAGTAACTGTATAAAAAAAAACAATCTTTGTTCCATTAATAAACATTCTCTTGGTTTTGATAATTACCATGGGACCAGACCGACCAAACACCTGGCTGGTCTATGGTAACTCTGTCAGACGCATGAGCTACACCACACGAAACCACGACCGATACGCCAAGATACTCCCATTGCATCTTCTTTGTGGTTATCTCTAGCACTCATTATTGTATTACAAATAAGGATGTCCAAACTTGTCAATAATTATCAAGAAATATAATCACAACATATGTAGACCTTAACCCAAAAACCCCACAATCACATTCTTGTCAACCTCACCTCCAGTTCCCTACTACGCCCTCTCAAGTCCCAACCTCATCAAGGAGGCCGTAGAGGAGATCCAGCACGAGGGCACTTAACATGCCAGCACCCAACTTTTTGTCTTAAGCTTTCTTAAATACGGAACATATCTTTTTAAGTTTCATGTTTCACCCCTCTTTCAAGTCAAATTTATGCAGAGTAGATCATAGTACGCTTTTAAGCTCGTACCCAGGACTCGTCTCTCACTTTTTCTTTAACAATCTTATACTCCGTACGTCCTTAGACCCTTCATCCTTACAACTTCCTAAGCATTGGTACAATAAGGGCTTCTCCTCCTTAAGGCTACCTTGCCATCTCCTCCCTCTGCTCCTAAAAACGTTTCCAGTTTTGACTTTTTTTAGTCAAACAGTGACACTATTTGACTACAAATTAGACATAATCTAAATAAATAAATGACATAAAAATTTGATATATCAAAACTACTTGGTCCGTCCCTGAGTGTTTGTCCACTTTTGACTTTTGGAACTGTTCATCTAAGCACTTTGACTCATCAAATTCTCTCAATGTGTAAGCCTAAAAATAGTCATGTGTGATCTTGTTTGATTCGTCTTAACATATAGATTATTAATATATAATTTTTATAATTTTTAAATATACAAATTACAAGATAAAATGGATTAAAGAAGTGAATTGGATGGTGTGCAAAAGTGAAAGTGGACAAACACTCAGAGACGGAGGAAGTATATCTTAAGATGAATCCAATTATATTGAATTTATATTATAATTAAATATACTTTTCTCACAATTTGGGGTCAAAGAGTGTCATGGTTTGACCAAAAAAGTCAAAACAAGAAAGATTTTTTGGACCAGAAAAGAGTATGTAATACTCCATAAGTCCCACAAAAAACTTCACCATTTTCTTATCTAAATCTCCCAAAAAACCTTCACTACAACTTTTTTCTTCAAAGGGAAGGAATATGTAAACCTTCACAATACTGAACTGAATTGAATAGTGGAGAAAAACACTACTAGATTCTTCAAACAATATTTACATCTAATATACAAACTGACATCAAACCAGAGCGTATAAATCAAATGCAAAAAGCATCTTACATAAACCACATCTAAACAATCTAGGGTAGATTGATTCCCGAGCACTATGAAATCAGTCAGAAAAAAAGGGGGATAAATGGATAATAGCTCATCATCATATTCGTCCATTCGAAGATTACTGCTTGATACTCAATAATTGAATAATTCTACTGCCAAATTCGATACAAGAGTGTTCAAATTTTCAAGAAAAAAAAATTCTTAAAGAAAGAAATTGGTGGAAATGCTTACCTGTGCCAGGAATCATACACGTATAAACTTGAATTGAATACCAGTATTAGTTAATTTGATGGTATGGAAAAGATGTACGAATGGCGAAAGAGGAAAACGAAGAGAGCAGTATGCAATTTAGATGGGTTTGTTTGATTTTCCAATGCTATTGCTAGGGGTACAAAAAATAGGCAAGAAATTCAAAAAAAAAATTAAATAAAAATCAAATAAAAATGAGTGGTGGAGAAGGGAGTGGTGTACATTTAGGGTACACCTTTGATGTACCCCTAGCATTGCTCATTACAAATACAAGTAGGTAATACCTGGGGAATGAACTTTAGAAATCGTCTTAAATACAGAGAAAATTACTAAAATAAGACTTTCATATTTTTTTCTCCAAAATAGGACTTCACACTGTGGTAATGTGGTTGTAATGTCATAATGTACATTTGTTCAATACTATACTTTTTGGTAATCTACATGACCATGTTTGGTAATATAAATGCATTTTAAGTCTTATTTCGGGAATAAAAACATGGAAGTTCTTTTTTGGTACTTTTCTCTATGTTTTAGTCATACTTTAGTCTTTCTCCCCTAAAATATAGA